GACACTGAAGCATTCAAGCTGAACCGCACTGAGTCTGATATGGAGATTGCAGATATTCTGAAGCGAGAGAGAAAATGCGTCAGAAAACTTTCCGTTGTTGAGAAGCAGAAGTGCAACTTGCAGTCACAGTGTCAGGAAGAGAAACAGATGGCGCTGCAGCTGGAGCTAGAGTTGCTTCAAGTTGAGAAAAACACCAAGGAAGACGAGGTGCGTCATTCCATTGATTATATCAACTAATTTACGTACATGAATTAATTTGTCCTCTCTTTTGCGTTTCTATTCTTTCCCTGATCTTGCAAAATTTATCTGCTAGATATATGTCTGGCAAACATATAGATCGGGAAACTTTAATAGTATCACTTAAAACAACTATCTTAGGGATTATCCCCCCCCCCCCCCCCCCCCTCCACACACAGACTCAATTAGTGTCTTTGTTATGCTTTTATCACCATCACCATTATCATGAGAACATATGAATTTATTTTTTTGTTTGTTCTTAATGATTCAATTTCTCTCGATTGTTTTTATATAACTCAAAGTATGTATTTGAAGTTCGTGAAGTTATATTTGAGATTATCTTCATTCATCAAGTTTGGAGTTTTTTTTCTTCTCATTGTGGTACTTTCTTAGTACACAATTGACATTTCAAACTATAGTTTTGCATTAACATCAGTGAATTACTAACATTTTCTACCAAATCATTTTATTGATTAATAAATGTTATTAAATTATTTATACTAAAGATATTCATAGGTTTAGTATTAAATCTTAATTAAACAACAAACTTGTTAATAAATTAGTGATTCTTATAATATTTGACTTTGTAGATTCATTCTAAAATTTATTTATTTTATGAAATTAAATTTACCACTTGTATGCAATTCAAAAGAGTTATAGATTTTCATAATACGCAAATGTGCAATCGTGCTCGCATGCACTTCTTCATAATATGACAAAACAACACTTATAATACGAATTATTTCAAAAAATTAATTCTTTCAGGCATTTAATACGATGGAGATGCAATACACTTATAACACTCTATCGAGGGATTAGTGTCTTTGGACATGTAATACGATAGAGATGTTTAAGGTAGTTCCTGTTGTAAAGGAAACCTTACATATGCTATGATAAATAACTAAATTCGAGTTTTGCTTTGCATCTTGCATAGTTAGCAAATGTGAGTTTATTTTGAGGCTAGTATGTTAGACTGCGGTAAAGTATATTCTTTAGTGTTCAAGGAAACAAGATTATATAGTAGTTTACCAGGTAGATAGTCTTAGTACGACTCAACAGTTAATGATCGAGTAATAGTAATTTGTCTTTGGCGTGTTAACGGTTTAGGAGATTTATTTCCTAAGGAAGTGAAAATGTATCGAAGTTTGTGCATTATGGAGACTAATGTTGTTGAATTGTGGTTTCTTTTATTTAATGATATTTAAATACAACTAAGACTAAATATAAATATTGCAATAAAATATTATCAACATAACCTAATGCGTAAAAATGTGATTCTAAATTACGCGATCGCATCGGTTCCAGGAGTTGGAGAAAACGTTAAACTCAAATTTAATTATAAGACTTCACATGTGAATTGTGATTTCAAATTAGCCTATCTTTAATGGTGGAAAGGATATATTAAACTTGTAGAAGAAAGGTTCTTGTTGTCATAAGATTTATTCAAGTTCTTTTTGGATTGTTCATTTTAATGCTAATTATCATTGGACGAATCATATTTTGTTACGAAGCTCCAAGCTAGTATATGTTAACATGTTTTAATTGTTTTGGGAAAATACATAAATGGCAAACAAAAATATCGACTAGTATTTATAAGTTTTTGTATTCGGAACATTTCCGAACGCAATAACATTACAAAGTTGACGTGTTCCGTGCTACACATATTTGGTGCTTGGTTAGGAGTAAAATTGATGTATGAAGATTGCTGGAAACATACATAGCAACAAAAAAAGGCTTCTCGCGAATAAGATTTACGTTGACAAATGTAATTAAAATGACATCTTTCCTAATCATATTAGGGAAGTTTAGGCTTGAACAACTTATTGGCAAATTTCCTTATAGCAAATGTTAACGAAACTTACGTTGTTAAGATATGTAGGAAGTACTTCTTCCTTAAGTCCACCGCGCGTGGTCTTCGCCACAATGTTATAGATTAATATTGCCATAAAGGTAAGAAAACGAAGATACATTTTGCACATCACAATCAACCTATTTTGATGAAACTTTGATTGTCTTCATTTTTAATGACGACCATTTCATACGAAATCTAGAAACCAATATTCAAGCCTTGAAGTTAAGTTTATGAGCAATCATTATACATTAGGAAATCATTCCCTTTTGAATGGAACATTACTAAATTCCATTATCTCCTCATCTATTACACTCAACTATAGCTCTAGTAAAATAAACGCTTAAAGCTTGTTGAGATAAATACTTCTCTTCATTGCCCAATTATAGGTGGATAAAAAAAAAATACAATTTCCAAGTTTGGCCGATTCTAATCCATTTATTTATAATTGGAACAAATATTTCATTCCGATTCCCAACGTTTTGATTTCGGTTTATTTTTTTCAATAAAACATTTGGAACACTACTAAATTTAGTTTTCACATCCAAAAAGATATGGAATTTCTCCAAAGATGCTAATTCTGATTTATCCGTCCTGATTTCAACCCCTAGCGGCTAGTTAACAAATATATCTCCTTCTATTTACATTGGCCTCTTTACCTCTCTTTTCTTACCTTAAAACATTCTCAATCGTTTTTGCTTGATTTTTAGTTAATCAGTTCATTAGCTTGTATTTAATGTTTGAGAGCTTGCTTCTGCTTCTTAACTTGTAGATAAGTATATGCATCTTTATATATTGCAAGACATTTTAGTCATATATGACTTGTCCTTGTTTTTGGAACTAAGTTGATAGAGATGTCCACTTCAATCACTTATAAACATTTAAACTTTCTTCAGACTACCAATATGGGATATCATATTCTATCATATGCCTATTAGTTTTTTTATTTGTCAAAGATTTTACTCCACTTCATTCCATGGTCGTAAAGTGCAGCAATCAATGTTAGAAGTGAGCTATAATACTCAAAATTGTCCCATTTCCATTTTGGTGGTCATATTCTTATTTTTTTTATTTTTTTTTTCCATCTCGCTGTTCAGTGAACAAAAGTAAAAGCGTATGGTACAAAAGGTTCAAATTTGGATTTTGTATATTGCTTAATGTCGCTGCTCTGTGACAGTCATCTCGGATTCTGAATTTATTGAATTGATAAGGCAAAAACAACGTTTATGGTGAAGTTCTAAATGTGTTGTTTACAACTTTCGGGAACTTGTGTATAGTTTTTAATAATTGATGATCAAATGCAATAAAAAATCTTCTATATATGTTGAAAGGTGCTTCATGAGTTAACTTATTTCAAAACAATTTACCGTATGATTGTTTTGATTCTGTAGTTGGTAACTTACTATATCGATGGAACGATATATGTAGATATGACATTGCTCCATGGATTTCTAGTACTTACCGGAGAAGTCTGAATTTCCTTTTGATTTCTATCTGCAGGTGAGTTGGAGACAGAATATTAAGGAAAAGGAGTATATGCTTGCCATTCGCGGTGAAGAAATTAGAACAGCTGAGATTCATAAAGCCAATTCAAGAGCCGAATTGACAAAATTGCGCCAAAAAAGGGAGATGGAAAGTCAGCTAGGAAGGGATGACTTTCAAAGACTAGAAGATGAGCTGTCCCGTCTCCGCGTATCTCAGCAAATGCGAGAGAGTGGAGATTCCTCGTACGAGGATGCTGAAGCAACATCCTCAGAATCAAGTGCTCCTATTGATACCTCTGAAAGAAGTTTTAGGCACTGGATATGCATGATGTGCTTGGAGAATGAAGTGTCTGTGGTTTTTTTACCTTGCGCACATCAAGTTCTTTGCTTTCCTTGTCATGAAAGGAACTTGAGTATAGTGGGAGCACAGTGCCCATATTGCCATGTTGGAATTGAAGAAAGCATCAAAGTGTTTGGTCCAAGCTCCTAAAAAGTCCAGAATTTCAGGCAAGGAAAATTGGTGTAAAATTCATTGTATTGCCGTTTAAACTATTGAAGATGGAGATGGAGTTGCCGTGTTTCAGACAACAAATGGTAGCATATTTGGTTAGTTGGGCTGTCTGCATGTTGATTATTGTGGACTTGTTAAAAATGAAAGCTCGACTGTTGGTGTTGGCAAAGAATGCAGGTAATGTGATTCACTTTCTTGGCCTATATTCAAAGACAATAGTAACTGTTTTTACAGTCCAAAAAAAATCTACAGGGACCTAAAAATTCAGTAGCTATGTTGTTGCTACTGCCAGAGTGGATAATAAACTGACAAATCGATTTTAACAGAATAAAGCCTGGTGTCGATGCTGAGGGTGGAGATGGCAAGTTGGGAAGAGAGTATGCAGAGAGCGGACATTTTGTCTAACTAATTTTGAGAATTAAATCGGATTTTCCTTATGATAATGAGAGTCTGCAGAGAGTAAAAATATTATAATTTGTTTGGTTTTGTTAATCTTGTTTTCCATGTCTTCTTTCCTCCATTGCTCTTGTACATGATTTTGATTAAATATACGACTTTAATGACCGACTAGTAATGTTTTCATGTTTAGCATCTCCTAATTTAGTCATAGTAATTCGTATCTTATTACTCATCTTTTTGGAAGTTTTCTATATATTCACCGAATATTATTTCTTCTTGGGGTTGGGAGAATGCTGCAGTTTGAATTGTTCAAAAATGAGCATAACAGGATTTCTCTTCAATGAAAATTTTAAATTTTGGCGTCGTTTTTTTCTTGCACATCTTAGGGGAAAGATCCCTATTTAGGGAAAGAAACCACAGTGAAGTCAAGGATGGGGATTTCCCCTTAAATGGTTGGGGAAATAAAATTTTATTTTTTATCCCCACCCCCAACCCCCCCCCCCCCCCCCCCCAACTAAATTCTTCGAAGAAGAAAGATAAGATATTGGGTTCGACATAGTTTAGGTTGTAAACTAGAGGTCACAATTAGAAACTTAGGATGACTAATCTGCATTGACAATTTGGTTGTCCGTATTGTTACTCAAACAATTAGAAATGAGTATCACAAGTTAACTAAATTCATTGTGTCCTATAATATGCCTTTAAGGTAGATAGGACAGGGTGGAGGCTTGGCAATGAGAAAGATCGTTGGATATAGGTGGCTGCACCCATAAACGTGTAAACGAGGTTGAGACAGAGGTTAGTATATTTTCTTCTTATATTAACATTTTGTTCGAGTATGATACGAAAACCGCTGAATGGTTGAACTGAATTTATCTTTCTCTGTTTATTTTATTTTTTCACAACTTCTCTAACAGGTTATTATTTATATGCAACATAGGCATTCACAAAATGTGTTTGAAAGTTCATATAAATAATCCCATCATCAATAATCCTTATCTTACACTCTCGCAAGTACTCGACCAGAAGCATGCCGGTTTAAAGGACATTCTGCTAAAAAGGTTATTTCCTCTTTTATTGACTCATGATTACTTACGAAATGCAGGTTCCAACCACTAGTTAGTAGGTATATAATTCAGATATACATAATATTACTTGTGTTAGTGATATGCCAACATATATGCAGACAGGATAAAGTTATTGTACTGCTTGTTAGTAAAATATGTTCCCACTATGAGTTGTCATTCCTCATCGAGATACCTTTAGCCAAGACAGGATTAATGTATAAGTTCAGATGCATAACCTGAATTTGCATAAAATCAAGAATTGGTATGCACACTGTTCCCTGTATTTAGGAAACATTGATATTCTCCAAGTTTTGATATGAGAGGAGTACTCATTCGGGGTGAAACGATGTCTACTCATAACTCATCTACGATTACAGATCAATATATTCTATGGGACTAAATATATTAGCTAGAAAAGGAATTAGCATAAAATTATTGAATAAGATTCAGTTTGCAAAGAGATTTTGGGTAAATCTTTATTTCTTTGTGCTTTTCTGTGATAATAGCAAGGGCAGGTAATTACTGATTTCTACATGTTGATGATTTTTCTAATCACTCTTCTGCACGAGTGTTGGATTAACAAGATATTTCAGAAATTTTTTTTTATTTTTTTTTTCTCTCCTTTGACCTTATGATGTAGATTGGTATTATGTTCATATCGCCCCAATTTATCTTACCTTTCAGAAAATCTAATTTTGAAAAAAAAAAGAAAAAAACTCATTTAGAGACTAGTTTATTCTATTTTAATGAAAGTCTACAAATTGATATTGTTTTATTATTTATTTTAGTGAATAAGCCTACTAATTAAAGAGTTTCAAGGATCATAATTTGCATAAAGTCTACAAATATTTATGTTTTTATTTTTATTTTTTTGAATACGCCTAAAAAAAATTGGGGCTGTCCGCGACATATAGCCCACCCTCCTGTTAATTATTGGCTCTGCCATTGCATGTATGCCTGGTCTGTGCTCATATTTACGAAAATTGTCTATATATGTCATCAGATTACCGTGCATTAAATTTGACCTTATCTTGTTTCTAACGTCCTCGTCGTTCTTATCCAGAGGGGTACAGAAAATATTATCGTTATATTGTATTATGTAATAGAAAAGTAACTAAAAATTTTGAACAAAATATTTTTTTGGAGAGTCAATGGCCCCTCCAAAGCACGCCTCGGTTACGCGCGTGTGGTGCACATATTTATGAAAATTGTTTATATATGTCATCAGATTACAGTGAATTAAATTTGACCTTATCTTATTTCTAACGTCCACGTCATTCTTATCTGGAACACGGAAAATCTTATCGTCCCATTAAATGAAAGGAAATATTTTTGCCTATATATATTGGTTTTCTACATTGTCTCTCTGCAACTTTCACTTTGTTATTTATTCAGTGTTAGGTTAAGAGCGAATGCTTATAACCTAAGCAGTCACTTCTTTACTCGTGGAGGAGCAGTTGACCGGAACCTTGCCATCGGAGACTTGTCCTGTAAAAATCCGGTAACTGATTCATTTTGTGACCTCTCAGACTCTCATTCATTTTCAATTGAACGCATTGCATTAACTTTTTTTTTTGTATTGGGGTGATTATTCTGAATTTGTATCTTATAAGGATTTATGATGTGGTGATGGGATGGAAAAAGGGTAAAAAAGGTAAAACCAAAAGATCTGCGTAAGAGCACTTCTTTATGTCAATACTTCAACCATTTTCTTTATAGATCTGCATAGATGTTATTCTTTTTGTTATGGATTAATAACGAAAAAAACAAATTTGGAAGTGACATTTTTCTTCTTTTTGTTATGGATTATTACTACATTTTTCGAAGTGAAAAATAACTTCCAATTCTGATTCAAAGGATTGGAAATCTAAAAACTCGTTCCGTTTCAAAAGCTTCAGAAATTTCAGAATGTTGGAAATCTAGTCACCCTTGTGTTAATTTGGAAAACAACCAGAACTTTTTTATATGAATTTGGAAATATTTGAATTTTTTTATATGATAACAATTAGCCTAAATATTATTGTATGCACATATATTTGGGGAAAATAGAATTTTCTGAATTATTTTTGGAAAATTTAATTTTTTGGAAATTTAATTCATAATTTCCAATTCTAATCCAAACATTTTCTTGGAATTTTGGAAACCGGAACGAAAAATATTGTTTCAAGTTAGATGTTTTCGGATCGGAATCGGAGGAATTCGAAAATTTCATTACGATTTCCATCTAGTTGTGATGCAAATCAAAATGTTAATAGGACGCCTTTGTAAGACCTAATTTGTTGTTGTCTTTTGAGTCTTGAACAAGAAGTCCTTTTCTAGTATCGGTGCCTGCTTAGAGTTCTTGATAGTACCAGCTTTGATTTCACATGTCAGTACCATACTAAACACAGGGTTTTCCAATTTTAGAACTCAGGCAAATTTTGATTTCTCAGAAATAAACATGGTATATCTATTTCTCAGCTATATTGATTTTACAGTTTGCAGCCATGGCTGGTTCAATGGGAGGTCAATACTCGAAGAGCAAAAGAAAATCTAAATCAGATAAGTATGACAAATCCAACAAGAAGCCTGAAGTGTTCAGTTCAATCGGGCAACAGTCCTGATGAACCAAAAGACAAGAATCCTCAGTCAAATTATACGCAACACCTCGTGCACCTAACATCGATCGAATCGAAACTGCAATGAACTAGGTAATGAGAAATCAATATATGTTTCTTGTAAATTGGATGTATAGGGCAGTGCTAATGTTTCTTCTTCCACCACAGTCGGAGGAAGTTCGTTGAGATGAAAACGATGTTGGCTGTTTGCAGAAGTTGATGTGGTTTGAATGGCACTCCGGCGACCTCAACAGCCACCAGCTCCATTCTGACCTAGATCCATATATAGTATATACTAGCTAGTGAGAGGTATATACCGAGACTCAAAATGCCCAAATTACACCATGCCGACACTGAAGCATTTAAGTTGAATGGATCCGAGTCTGAGAGGGAGGTGGCAGAAATTCTGAAGAGAAGAGAAAATGCATCAGAAAACTTTCCGACTTTGAGAAGCAGGTTAGCAATTTGCAGTCACAGTGCGAGGAAGAAAAGCAGAGGTTGCTGCCAGCTGGAGCCAGAGTTGCTTCAAGCTAAGAGAAAAGCTGAGGTACGTCATTCCATTGAAATATATCTACTAATTATCTATGTGAATGCTGATTGTCTTGGTAATTATCTTATAATTATGAATTTACTTTTCCTCTGTTTTGCATCTAATCTCGCAAATTTTATCTGCTAGACATATTTTTCACTAACATATAGCTTTATCATATATTTGTATTCATGATTCCAATTCAGTTATATTCATTTTACATTTTACAGCCTCTGGCTCTGGCTCTGGCTCTGGCTCTGGCTCGTTCAAAGGGAGGTAAACACTTGATGAACGAAGGCAGTTTCTTAATCGAATAGGTCTGGCACGTTCAACAAAGATGGCACATTTAACAAAGGAGCCTGAACTATTCAGTTCTAAGTTTCCTTCAGCACAATCGAGCAACAATCCTGATGGAACAAAGGATTTAAAAGACAAGAATCCTCAGTCAAATGTAATTCAAAGATTCGCTGTTGAAATCTGGATATAGTACGACAGAAGTAAGAAACAGCAATCTTAAGTGCTGGGCATATCCATGGGCGGGTGGATATTCTTAATAATATTTTGACAAATTCAACTGCTTTTATTGAAAAAAGGGTGGAACCAACAAGCAAAGCTTTCAAAAACATGGATGAGTTATACAAAACTATGCTAGAAACCATGGTTTTACGTTGAAGCTAAAAAATGCTCAAATTAGAGCCGACACTGAAGCGTTTAAGTTGAATGGATCCAAGTCTGAGAAGGAGGTGGCAGAAATTCTGAAGAGATAAAGAAAATGCACCAGAAAACTTACCGAATTATATCTACTAATTATCTATGTAAATGCTGGTTGTCTTGGTAATTAGTTTAGTTTTCGTCTCTTCATTTCCATTTGGTTCCGGAAAATTTATTTGCTATGCATATTTCTGAGAGAATCATTCCCACTTGTAAAGAAACATGTCTTATTTCCTGTATTTAGATCTCATTGCACAAATAAGAAGAAAAAAATAAAAAAGATAAAAAATAACAGTCCTACTATGGACTTCTTCTGTTTCGTATTTATTTTACTCAATATCATTCAGAATATCTCTGCAGTTATTTGCCCGATTCTTCTCTCTGACCAATCCCGAATTCCGTGGTGTATTTTCTTCACGATTACAAGGTTTTATCGATTGTGATTACTGACCGGTGACATTATCATCCGGTCTTAACAATCTCTTTTTGTCTCCGTCATTTTTTCTCTTTCTTGAAGCTCCAAATTCATGGTAAGTTCCCTTTTCTCGTATTTTGATAAGTATCCACAAACTTCAAAGTAGTTATGTTCCTATTTATTCTTGCAAGTCGCAATTATGTTTATATTCTCCTGTTCGTTGTCATATTGTTAGTGGGGTTTTTTTTTTTTTTTTTTTTTTTTTTTTTTTGCGGTGTTAGGCCTGAATATAATCGTTTTTAAATTGCTTGATAAGCAGCTCGATTTTCTGTGTATCTTACAGCGAGCAAACATTTTAACTAACTAGTTCTGAGAATTAGATCAGATTTTCCTTCTGATAACGAGAGTCTGCAAAGAGTACAAAAATTTATCGAGTTAGGACCCGACGAAGCAATTAATCTATTGAGTGTTAATTTATCGATGTAATAGCAACAATGCATGCAATTGAATTTGTCCTTAAAATAAATCTAAAACTCAAAAGTCAGCAAATACTCATTTATCAAAATTAAGTATATCTCTGCATCAAATACTCTTATAAATTTCTTGGGGTTATTTTACATAACCGACTAGCCACCAAATAAACTAGGGATAAACCCAAGCCCAAATCATCCTTTGACATACCCCCTGGGGAAGCGAAAGTACTATTTTCGGTCAAACTGCATTCAACATTTATGGTCCTGCATTTATTATTATTATTATTATTATTATTATTTTTTTTTTTTATTTTTTTTTATAAATCTGTTTGTTAAATATATATATATATATTTTATTTTTTTTTGAGGGGGGGGGTATAAATAAAAAAAAAATTATTATTTATTTATTTTATTTTTATTTTTAATTTTCAAAACAATATGTTTACAGTACTGAAAATAACTACATGTAACTATAGTAATTCATAGTTATGTTCGTTTTTTACCCATATTTTCAGTCGATCAATTGTACGTATACACACACGAATACTGACTTATACGAAATAAATTCATAAAACCCCAACAAAAATGTACAAAATTTAAATATTTTTATTATAAATCACATCAATATACGCATATGTAACTACATGTTACTATAGTAATGTATAGTTATGTGCACGGTCTGTTGAACAGATATGATGTAACTTAAAAAAACAAAAAATTGACACCTTCAAGGAAATGATCAATGGCCTTCATTAAGCTGCAATTGCAAAATCAAAACAAAAAGAAATTACTTTAGTGCAAATCAACAAATTTGAATAAAAGCATCAAAACACTCAAAAATCACCAAACATTAAGAGATCGAGAGATAGAGAGAGAGGTTATTGCTGGGAAATGCAAAAAAATATAGAAATAAATCTGAAAAAAAAATAAAAATAAACGAAATTACCATCAAAATATAGATCCCGATGAAAGGAATCCAACGGTGGATGACCCGTCAAATTTCGACGGGTGAAACACAAAATAAAGCTCCCGGCAAGACCACCGTTCTCGAATGAAAAAAAATTGCAGAAACAGATCCGCGCTCGAAACTGAATGAAATCACCACCAAAAGAAAGAGCTCGACGAGAGGAATCCAACGGTAGTTAAACCATCGAATTCCGACCACCGGAGAGAGAGTTATGGCTCCGGGAAGCAATTTCGCCGGTGAGGTTTGTAGAGGCGGGATTTTGAATCTGGGAGAAGAAGAGAGAGACCGTGAGTGGCTAGGGTTAAAACTGATTTTAGAAGGGTATTATAGGAACTTCAGGGTAGCCCAGAGGGGTATGTCAAAATATTTTCGAAATGAGGGGGGTTTCACCTAGAGTGTAATCCACTTGGTAGTTAATTCTATATAATTTGGAAATGAGGGGGTCTACAAAATAATCCCAAATTTATTCAACTCAAAATAAAAGAAAGCCTAAAGATATGCGTAGGGATATTTTTGTAAATTCTTTTAACTTTATTGACGTCAAAGGGGGAATTTGGAGATTTTAAAAGTTAAATGGGGTATTTAATGTATAAAGGAATAGTGTAGGGAGGCATTTGGTGATCTATATTCTATAGTGTATATGTATTTGACCTGAGAATTATATTTATAATCTCATGCGCACACATATATTGATAATTAAATATTTCAAATATTAATAAAAATGAAATTGGTTATGGAGAAGGCCACCTAAACTCGATCGTGCACATAACTTAAAAATTGGTGAAGTAGAAATAATTGGTGAAGGTTGAAGTATTATAATTGACCTACACAAGTATATATCTATTTCAATGATTAAAATGCACAAATGAATATACAGCCTCGTTAACGGTTGCTAAATGGAGCTTGTCATACACGGCCAGTCTTTTAATGTGATTTACGTCTCTCGAATAGTTTACAAGTTATTGTACGAGAGTTTAGATTTATCCAATGCACTTATATGATTGGTTGCGTGTTCGTTCAGTACCAGAAGAAAAAAATAAAACGGGTTATTGTTGATTTTCGCTTTACAATTCACCAATATATATGTAAAAATTGTGTGTGAAATTAATTTGTTTATTAACAAATGAAATGATTTATCTATTCAAAATAATATATAGAGATGTTTTTTCGCAATTCACTTATATTTCCATGTATGACTTTTAGGTATGAGTTTCATCACATCGTGAGCCTAAAACCAGGACTTAGATAATGATGAATTTAAAAGGATAAGCTTATATTATTGAATAATTAAAATACTTAAGAGAATAATTGTTTCGTACTTATATAATATTTGGCTAAACTTATTTTAAACAGCTGATAAGCTTTTATGTTTAATAAGATGTTTTAAGAGTTGATAAACTGTTACATCTTATTTTTAGGATAAATTTTTAAAGTGTTTGGATAATAAGTTTATTTCATAATTTTAACATTTTATAAGCTTAGCCAAACACCCTCTTAATGGGACTAACTTATTTCCAATGGTCAAACTATCACATGATTATGTTAATTGTCACTAAGATCTTATTTGAATATACTTATTAATTCTCAATTCTCATAAATAAAATGGCATGTGATGGGTATGTCAGCATTTTATACTACTAGATTTTTGGCCCGTGCGATGCACGGAATTGGAGTAAAATTAATACAAAGTAAAGTTCAATTGAAACGACAAAGTTGAAGTTTCAATTCATTTTGATGTTTTGCTATATGTATTGATTATAATCCTCCGTCCATAAACTATTTTTGCCATATTTATTAATTTAACTTTATGTTTTTAATGTAAGATAGTTGTATATTTATCTTATCTTAGTTAAGATAGAAGTTTTCATAGGATTTGTAAACATCGTGTTACAATTAGTAACACTTCTCGTGCAATGCACGACATATATATTTTCAAATTGTAACACTTCTCGTGCAATGCACGACATATATATTTTCATTAGGAATTGTATTAAATTATGTGCATGTATTAAGTAAATTATAAACATTAGTATAAGCAACAACTTAAGCGAGATTTTACAAAAGTTATGCAATTCTTACTTAAATGAAATTAACATGTAAAATAGTACCATTAAAATAATAAATATAGATCAAAAATAATATATTTGGTAGATTGAAAATGAAAGATAATATGTAAAATGAACACAAATCTTTGTAGTTAAATTCTTCTCACCCAACTTCTATTTCTCCAATACACACTCATTTTTCCTTTTTTTCTTCTTTTTAATGACATCAAGTAATTAATTTGAATAGGAGCCAATAATAAATATTGTCAAAATAAATTATATTAAATAACATTAATTGAATAAATGATAATTATAGATATTATGAGGGTGAAAACTCTAGGGATTACCAGGAACAACCTTACTTTTTATTAATAAGATAAGTAGTATTATACCCAGAAAATTAATAATAGTAGCCAATAACTAAATAATGTTAACATAAATTATATTAAATATAATTAATTAAATAAATGAAAATTATAACTATCAAATGAGCGGGAAAAAACCTCAGGATTTACGAGGAGCAACCTTACTTTTGAAATTAATATTTAATTATTAGTTAGAGATTAGTATACACTTGAAATTAATATTTAATTACCGATCATTTCAAAATTTTGATTAATATTTAATTAGTAGATTATATGATATTAGGTTAGGCGGGAAAAATACTATTAGGGTTTTTCCAGGAACCTTTCTTTTGTTAATAGGATGCTATACCAGGTCAATACATTCGTTAGATTTTTACTGTTTATATTCGTTAGATTTTTACTGTTTATAAGTATACAATCACATGCATTGATGTGTGTAAACCATCATTAATCCACTTCATATATAACCTTCACTGTATGTCAACCAGGTGGAAATATACATACAAAGACAAAGGTTATAAGATACCGTAAAAACACCCCTCATTCAGTTGCTAAATTTGACATCGTAAAGATAGGCGTGTAAGAAGAATACGTAGATGAGGGGTTCTTTCGTAATTTAACCTTCCTTGGGCAAATTAAATTAATTGATATGAAGCTATGTGGGCCTGTTGTGTGGATAATGTGGTTGGGCCCACTACGATCCAAAATTGGAACCCTGTTTATCAGATTACATTTGTCACCGCTGTGAACGAAAGCTCCGATCAACAATCGCCGATTTTGGATTCACGATGACGAGTTTTATCTACCTGGATTCATCGCCGATGGCATTTTCATTCGAAACCTTGAATTTTCAGCCGGTGTTAACAAACCCTTTTTTCCCGCATCCCCTTTTCTCGTATTCGAAGCTTCATATTTGTGGCAAGTTCCCCTTTCTCGTATGTAATTTGATCAATACTCGCAATTTATCGTCAGTTGGTTTTTTTGGTAGTTCGCATCTTAGAACTTATTTTTCTGCAAGTGTTTTATGGATGCATGGGAATTCATAATATTATATACTTGGCTCTGGTTGAATTTGTTAAAAAAAATTGTGCTGATTGCACATGAAATTGTAAATATCAGCTGAGAAATCGAACATTTTGTTCAGAGTGCATTAGTAATTTTTAAGCATAATCATCCTCTGTGCTGTTGTAGAGAGAGGGAGAGAGCAGATTTTTCGAAGAGATATAGTCTCTATTATAGCTGTTTATAATGTTATTCCTGCCTTGTTTACGCCTTTACGCTCATTTATAGTTCAACCGTAAAGAACATATCATCGGGAATATCCTGATTTGCTTGTAAAATTTTGCTGAAACTGTGGCTGACTACTCTGCATTGACATTTCGGTTATCACTATTGTCGCTCAAAAAATTAGAAACAAGTCTCGAATGTTAACTTCACCGAGTCCTTAAATAAGCCTATAAGATGGATATGCCGTATGAGATTGGTGGCGGCAAAGTCAGTTGCCAAAAAAGTTAGTTCCCGTATTGTCAACTCATGATTAATTAAGAGATGCAGGTTCCAAACACTAGTTAGTAAGTAAGATGAATCACAATCACATAATATCCCTTACGCGAGGGCTATACATAGATGTTAATCTACTGCTTGTTAGTAAAAAAATGTTCACACTATGAGTTGTCATTTCTCACAAGAGTGGAAAATGAACGTGTTATTTCTCATTGAGAGATATGTTTACCCAAATTTGCGTAATATCCAGGTCTGGATACGCATTTTTCCTTGATTAAGGAAATTTTCATAATCTCTAGATTTTAATTTGAGAGGAGCACTCTTTAGGATTGAGATGTTTATCCATCCAAGATTGCACATCCATATGGATAAAATCCTCTTGGATTAAATATTTTTGCTAGAAAAGGTATTAATATAAAACCATGGAATATGATTACTCAAATTTGCAAAAGCATTTTGGGAAAATCCTTTATCGCCATATTTTTTTTTCCTATAATAATAGGAATTAGCAAGGTAATTAATTAATGAATCTTTATCCCTCTTTTGCACGGGTATTGAAATGATGAGATATTTCTGAATTTTATTTTCTTGGACCTTGTAATGTAGATTACATACTCAATATGGTCACGTATAATTTTAATTTCATTTATATTACAGGCAAGGAACATAAATCTCGAGGCCCTTTTCAAAATTCATATCATCCATGTATGCCAGGTGTGTGCTCACATTTGATTTTTTATGAACCGGTTGTTGTTGCTACCATCTTTATGAAAGATTATCGACATATGTCATCAGATACAATATGCATTAAATTCGACCTCTTCTTGTTTCTAACGCCCTCACATTCTTATCTGGCATGTAAATAATCTTATTATCCCATTAAATAAAAGGAGATTTTGCCTATTCATCTAGGTTGTGTCAATTGTTTCTCCGCCACTTTATTTTTGCTATTTATTCAGTGAATGTGCACTAGACTAGGTTAAGAGAGAGAGCTTATAACCTAAGCAATCACTTCCTCCTTACTTTTTCCTGAAGAGCAACCCGGAAACTTTTCATCGGAGAATTGTCATTCATTTTCTTCCTGGAAATCAAATCTCTGGTAATTAATTAGGGCATAGATCTGTTTTTGATAGATTCTATTTTCTTCCTCCCGATTGTCATTCATTTTTAATTGAAAGCATTGCCTTAAATTTTTTTTTTCTTTTTCAACACAGCTTAAATTCAAGTATGATTTAATTGTTTCTTCCGATTTCATATCTATTCATCTTTTTTTACAGCAGGAATTTCTTAGAAGTTTTATCTTTATTTATCTTGTAAGGGTTTGTGATGTGGTGATGGGATGGTTATTTCATGTAGTTTTTTCAGTAAACCCAAACGATCTGTATAAGAGCACTTTTTTTTTTGTGTCAATACTTATGGATCTGCAGAGATATTTCTTTTTGTTTTGGATTATAAGATTATTTTTGGAAGTTCAAAATAATTTTCATTTCAGATACTAAATCTATCAGATCTAATTTCTTTTCTAATTCCAAAAGATTTCGAAATTTCTGAATTCGTGCCACCTTTATAAATTTCGAGATTCTTGGAAGTTTTGGGAATATTTGATCTTTTTTCTTCTTAAAATTATAGTCTAAATTCTCTTTAGTCGAAATTTTAAAACAATAATAATATTAAAAATAAAAAAGTATATTATGAAAAAATGGTTTGAATATTTTTTCAAAATCAGTATTTCGAGGAATTTTTTATTAACTCCGATTGCCGATTTTGATTTAAAAAAAAAATCGGAAATTGTAAATTCCAAAGGTGGTACTTTCGGACCTAGATTCAGAGAAGTTAGGAAATTCCTTTTCGATTTCTACACCTTTTCTTTTTTGAGAACTGTGTTTTCTTCATTTCGATTACTACACCTTTTTATGATGCAAACCAAAATCTGGCACATCTTTTTCTCTGTCTAGTAATTACATGAACATATCTGTTTCTCTGTCTAGTAATTACAAGAACATATCAAGCAAGTGTCTTGAATTAAAACCTACGTTAATACTTTTGATAAAACAACGATGGTTCACACTTTTATCTTTCTGCATGATGTATTTTATACATATTTTTTTCTATTACATCTGTGTATGTCTACAAATGCTTTATCTTGTGTCATGCAAGTAATCATGATTCTAATTTTCAGTTTATACACTTACAGCTTCTACCCATGGCTGGTTCAAAGAGAGGCAAACACTCGAAGGGTAAAGGAAAATCCCAATCAAATAAGTCGGAGACAATCAACAAGAAACCTGAAGTTTTCAATTCGAAGCTTGATTTGGCACAATCAAGCAACAACCCTGATGCATTGGACAGAAGTAGGTGCAAATACACAGAAAAGGAGCTGAAGGATTTGTTTTATAAAAAGTTTGAGTGGTTATACGCTACAGCTAAAGATTGGCTGTTGAAATTAGGGTACCGTACGGCAGAAGTAGAAACAGCAATACTAAGTGCTGGATATATTCATGGGCGGATGGATATTCTTAATAATATTTTGATGAATTCAATTTCTTTTATTGAGAAAAGAGTTGAACCACCAAGCAATGCTTTCAAAGACATGGGTGGGCTATACCATGCTATGCTAGAAAGTATGGTTGTATCTTTCCAGCAGACTCGCCCAGATTTGAAAAGGTCCGACGCCATGTGCCATCTTTTAGAGAGGAGCTGGTGTTGTGCTCCATCAGTCACCCGAGCTTCTATTTTGGAGAGTGAGAATAGTAGCCACAGTAAAAATGAAGATGCTGAAGCCCTTGGTCAATACTCTGCTAAGAGAATCCGATCTCAACTTAATGCTGATCCATCATTAAAGAGGGTCGGGATTATGGAAAGGGTCAATTTCACGCCGGAATTAGAATCTTATTTCAGGTGGAATGTCCTTAGTGTTGCAGATGAAATGCGGCGGAAACTTGGCATTCCTGTTATTGACAGTGGCACAACAACAGAAATTTCTGATACAGTGAGCTCTGACTTCCTCACAGAAGTTTCCTATGAACCAAATGATGCTCGGATAGCCAATTTGTTAAAAGATATTGGAGAACTGCAAGAAAAGGTGAAGGACCGAAAATCATGGGCTCAGAAGAAAACGATAGATATCGCTAGAACGCTAAGCGAAGATCTCCTGGAACTTAAGTTGTTAAGGATGGATAAAATGGACTTGGAAAATAAGAAACGAAATGCTGAAAAATCACAGAAACTCAAAATGCTGGAGATCAATGAGAGTAGATCATCTCTCCAAAACATGAATCGTGAATTAAGTTTCAGCAGTGATGATATGGGAAGGCTGAGGATTAAAAATGCCCAAATTAGAGCCGACACTGAAGCACTCAAGCTGAACCGCACTGAGTCTGATATGGAGGTTGCAGATATTCTGAAGCGAGAGAGAAAATGCGTCAGAAAACTTTCCGTTGTTGAGAAGCAGAATTGCAACTTGCAGTCACAGTGTCAGGAAGAGAAACAGACGATGCTGCAGCTGGAGCTAGAGTTGCTTCAAGTTGAGAAAGACACCAAGGAAGACGAGGTGCGTCATTCAATTGATTATATCAACTAATTTACGTACATGAATTAATTTGTCCTCTCTTTTGCGTTTCCATTCTTTCCCTAATCTTGCAAAATTTATCTGCTAGATATATTTCTGGCAAACATATAGATCGGGAAACTTTAATAGTATCACTTGGAAATAACTGTCTTAGGATTATTCACCACCCCCCCCCCCCCCACCCCCCCACACACACACTGACTCAATTAGTGTCTTTGTTATGCTTTTATCACCATTATCATGAGAACATATGAATTAATTTTTTTTGTTTGTTCTTAATGATTCAATTTCTCTCCATTGTTTTTATATAACTCAAATATGTATTTGAAGTTCGTGAAGTTCTATTTGAGATTATCTTCATTCGTCAAGTTTGGAGCTTTTTCTCATTGTGTTACTTTCTTAGGACACAATTGAATTACTAACATTTTCTACCAAATCATTTTAGTGATTAATAAATGTTATTAAATTATTTATATTAAAGATATTCATAGGAATAGTATTAAATCTTAATTAAATAACAAACTAGTTAATAAATTAGTGATTCTTATAATATTTGACTTTGTAGATTCATTCTAAAATTTATTTATTTTATGAAATTAAATTTACCACTTGTATGCAATTGAAGAGAGTTATAGATTTTCATAATACGCAGATCTGCACTTCTTTATAATATGACAAAACAACACTTATAATATGAATTATTTCAAAAAATTAATTCTTTCAGGCATGGAAACACTGTATCGAGAGATTAGTGTCTTTGGACATGTAATACGATAGAGATGTTTAAGGTAGTTCCTGTTGTAAAGGAAACCTTACATATGCTATGATAAATAACTAAATGCGAGTTTTGCTTTGCATCTTGCATAGTTAGCAAATGCGATTGCGGTAAAGTATATTCTTTAGTATTCAAGGATACAAGACTAAAGGATACAAGAGTATATACTAGTTTACCAGATAGATAGTCTTAGTACGACTCAATAGTTAATGGTCGAGTAATAGTAATGTTAACACTTTGGGAGATTTATTTCCTATGGCAGTGAAAATGTATAGTGGGAAATTTGTGCAATGTTCCACTTGCGTATTTGTAAATTATGGAGACTAATTTTGTTGAATTGTGGTTTCTTGTATTCATGTTTTAAGATAAATTGAAAATTCTATTTAATGATACTTAAATACAACTAAGACCAAATAGAATGAGTGCAATAAAATATTATCATCATAACCTAATGCGTAAGAAATGTAATTCTAAATTACGCATCGCTTCCAGGAGTTGGAGAATGTGTTAAACTCAAATTTAGTTACAAGACTTCACATGTGAGTTGTGCTTTCAAATTAGCCTCTCTTTAATAGTGGAAATGATGTATTAAACGTGTAGAAGAAAGGTTCTTGTCGTCATAAGATTTATTCAAGTTCTTTTTGGATTGTTCATTTTAATGATAATTATCATTGGACGAATCATATTTTGTTACGAAGCTCGGAGCTAGTATATGTTATCGACTTATATCTAGTGAACGAAGGCCAAAAAGATGAATTAAGGAAGCAACAAATATTTGTAGATTTACCACTCAAAACATGTTTTAATATTTTGGGAAAATACATAAATGGCAAACAAAAATTTCGACTAGTATTTAAAGTTTTCGTATTCGGAACATTTTCGGAACGCAATAACATTACAAAGTTGACGTGTTCGTGCTACACAAAAATTGATGTATGAAGATTGATGGAAACATACATAGCAACAAAAAAAGGCTTCTCGCAAAGAAGATTTTCGTCGACAAATGAAATATAATTAAAATGACATGTTTCCTAATCATATTAGGGAAGTTTAGGCTTGAAAAGCTTATTGGCAAATTTCCTTATAGCAAACGTTAACGAAAGTTACGTTTTAAGTTATGCATGAACAAGTTAGATATTTAGGAAGTACTTTTTCCTTAATTCCACCGCGTGGTCTTTACCACAATGTTATAGATTAATATTGCCATAAAGGTAAGAAAACGAAGATACATTTTGCTCATCACAATCAAACCTATTTTGATGAAAATTTGATTGTCTTCATACTTAATGACGACCATTTCATATGAAATCTAGAAACCAATATTCAAGCCTTGAAGTTAAGTTTATGAGCAATCATTATACATTAGGAAATCATTCCCTTTTAAATGGAACATTACTAAATTCCATTATCTCCTCATCTATTACACTCAACTCTTGGTAAGAGCTCTATTAAAATAAACGCTTAAAACTTGTTGATATAAATTTTTCTCTTCATCGCCCACCGTAACCTAAACATTTCTATTTATAGGAAGCAAGTGGGCGTGGAAAGTAGAATGAAATTTTCGAATTCGACTGCCATGCAAAAAAAAAAAAACATTGTTTTATATTGTAGGTGGATAAAAAAAAATACAATTTCCAAGTTTGGCTGATTCTAATCCATTTTTTTTTATAAATGGAACAAATATTTCATTACGATTCCAACGTTTTGATTTTGGGTTTTTTTTTCAAAAAACATTTGGAACATTACTAAATTTAGTTTTCACTTCCGAAATTTTTTGGAACTTTTCCAAAAACGCTAATTCCTATTCATCCGGCCCATATGTTCCCTAGCGGCTTGTTAACAAATATATCCTCTTCTATTTACATTGCCCTCTTTAGCTCTCTTTTCTTACCTTAAAACATTCTCAATCGTTTTGCTTGATTTTTAGTTAATCAGTTCATTAGCTTGTATTTAATGTTTGAGAGCCTGCTTCTGCTTCTTAACTTGTAGATAAGACATCTTTATATATTGTAAGACACATTTTAGTCATATATGTTCGCTGGCTACTACTTGCGCTTGTCCTCGCTTGTCCATGTTAATCACTTATAAGCCATTTAAACTTTCTTCAGACTCTACCAATATGGGATACCATAGTCTTTCATATGCCTATTACTTTTTTTATTTGTCAAAGATTTTACTCCACTTCATTGCCATGGTCATAAAGTGCAACTAATGTTAGAAGTGAGCTATAATACTCAAAATTGTCCCATTTCCATTTTGGTGGTCATATTCTTTTTTTTTTTTCCGTCTCGCTGTTCAATGAAGAAAAGAAAAATGTTATGGTGCAAAAGGTTCAAACTTGGATTTTGTATATTGCTAAAATTCGCTGCTCTGTGACAGTCATGTTGGATTCTGAATTTATTGAATTGATAAGGCAAAAACAACACTTATGGTGAAGATCTAAATGTCTTGTTTACATCTTTAAGAAACTTGTGTATAGTTTTTAATAATTGATGATCAAAATCTTCTATATATGTTGAAATGTGCTTCATGAGTTAACTTATTTCAAAACAATTTACTGTATGATTTTTTTGATTCTGTAGTTGGTAACTTACTATATGGATGGAACTATATATGTAGATATGACATTGCTCCATGGATTTCTAGTACTTACCGGAGAAGTCTGAATTTCCTTTTGATTTCTATCTGCAGGTGAGTTGGAGACAGAATATTAAGGAAAAGGAGTATATGCTTGCCATTCGCGGTGAAGAAATTCGAACAGCTGAGATTCATAAAGCCAATTCAAGAGCCGAATTGACAAAATTGCGCCAAAAAAGGGAGATGGAAAGTCAGCTAGGAAGGGATGACTTTCAAAGACTAGAAGATGAGCTGTCCCGTCTCCGCGTGTCTCAGCAAATGCGAGAGAGTGGAGATTCCTCGTACGAGGATGCTGAAGCAACATCCTCAGAATCAAGTGCTCCTATTGATTCCTCTGAAAGAAGTATTAGGCACTGGATATGCATGATGTGCTTGGAGAATGAAGTGTCTGTGGTTTTTTTACCTTGCGCACATCAAGTTCTTTGCTTTCCTTGTCATGAAAGGAACTTGAGTACAGTGGGAGCACAGTGCCCATATTGCCATGTTGGAATTGAAGAAAGCATCAAAGTGTTTGGTCCAAGCTCCTAAATAGTCCAGAATTTCAGGCAAGGAAAATTGGTGTAAAATTCATTGTATTGCTGTTTAAACTATTGAAGATGGAGATGGAGTAGCCGTGTTTCAGACATCAAATGGTAGCATATTTGGTTAATTGAGCTGTCTGCATGTTGATTATTGTGGACTTGTTAAAAATGAAAGCTCGACTGTTGGTGTTGGCAAAGAATGCAGGTAATGTGATTCACTTTCTTGGCCTATATTCAAAGACAAATAGTAACTGTTCACAGTCCAAAAAAATCTACAGGGACCTAAAAATTCAGTAGCTATGTTGTTGCTACTGCCAGAGTGGATAATAAACTGACAAATCGATTTTAACAGAATAAAGCCTGGTGTCGATGCTGAGGGTGGGAGATGGCAAGTTGGGAAGAGAGTATGCAGAGAGCGGACATTTTGACTAACTAATTTTGAGAATTAAATCGGAGTTTCCTTATGATAATGAGAGTCTGCAGAGAGTAAAAATATTATAATTTGTTCGGTTTTGTTAATCTTGTTTTCCATGTCTTCTTTCCTCCATTGCTCTTGTACATGATTTTGATTAAATATACGACTTTAATGACCGACTAGTAATGTTTTCATGTTTAGCATCTCCTAATTTAGTCATAGTAATTCGTATCTTATTACTCATCTTTTTGGAAGTTTTCTATATATTCACCGAATATTATTTCTTCTTGGGTTTGGGAGAATGCTGCAGTTTGAATGGTTCAAAAATGAGCATAACAGGATTTCTATTCTGATTTCTGGTGAAACTTGTCACCTCAGTTATTCCAGAAAGATGCCTAATTAGGGAAAGAAGCACAGCTGAGTCAATGATTGGAGTTTCCTTTTAATTGTTTGTGATATCAAATTTTAAACCCCCCCCCCCCCCCAACTAAATTCTTCAAAGAAGAAAGATAAGATATTGGGTTCGACATAGTTTAGGTTGTAAACTAGAGGTCACAATTAGAAATTTAGGTTGACTAATCTGCATTGACAATTTGGTTGTCCGTATTTTTACTAAAACAATTAGAAATGAGTATCACAAGTTAACTAACTTCACTGAGTCCTATAATAAGCCTTTAAGATGGATAGGACAGGGTGGAGGCTTGGGCAATGCGAAAGATCGTCGGATATAGGTGAAGTCGAAGGTAACTGCACCCATAAACGTGTAAACGAGGTTGAAACAGAGGTTAGTATATTTTCTTCTTATATTAACATTTTGTTCGAGTATGATACGAAAACCGCTGAATGGTTGAACTGAATTTATCTTTCTCTGTTTATTTTATTTTTTCACAACTTCTCTAACAGGTTATTATTTATATGCAACATAGGCATACACAAAATGTATTTGAAAGTTCATATAAATAATCCCATTATCAATAATTAAGTATGTGTTGCAGATCATCCTTATCTCACACTCTCGCTTGTTTCACCCTTGCAAGTACTCGACCACAAGCGTGCCGGTTTAAACGGCATTCTGCTAAAAAGGTTATTTCCTCTTTTATCAACTCTTGATTACTTCAGAAATGCAGGAGGTTAGTTAGTAGGTATATAATTCAGATATACATAATATTACCGGTGCGAGTGATATACCAACATATATGCAGACAGGATAAATGTTATTGTACTGCTTGTTAGTAAAATATGTTCCCACTATGAGTTGTCATTCCTCATCGAGATACCTTAGCCAAGAGAGGATTATGCATAATCTGAATTTGCATAAAATCAAGAATTGGTATGCACACTGTTCCCAGTATTTAGTTGTTAAGAAAACACTGATATTTTTTTTTTCCTCCATTGACCTTATGATGTAGATTGGTATTCTGTTCATATCGCCCCAATTTATCTTACCTATCTCACCTAGTACTTCAGAAAATCTAATTTTGAAAAAAAAAAACAAGAAAAAAACTCATTTAGAGACTAGTTTATTCTATTTTGATGAAAGTCTACAAATTGATATTGTTTTATTATTTATTTTAGTGAATAAGCCTACTAATTAAAGAGTTTCAAGGATCATAATTTGCATAAAGTCTACAAATATTTATGTTTTTATTTTTATTTTTTTGAATACGCCTAAAAGAAAGATTAGGGCTGTCCGCGACATATAGCCCACCCTCCTATTAATTATTGGCTCTGCCACTGCATGTATGCCTGGTGTGTGCTCATATTTATGAAAATTTTCTATATATGTCATCAGATTACTGTGCATTAAATTTGACCTTATCTTGTTTCTAACGTCCTCGGCGTTCTCATCCGGAGGGATACAGAAAATATTATTGTTATATTGTATTATATAATAGAAAAAAGTAAGTAAAATTTTTGAAAAAAAATAATTTTTTGGAGAGGCAATGGCCCCTCCAAAGCACGCCTCGGTTACGCGCGTGTGGTGCACATATTTACGAAAATTGTCTATATATGTCATCAGATTACAGTGAATTAAACTTGACCTTATCTTATTTCTCACGTCCGCGTCATTCTTATCTGGAACACGGAAAATCTTATCGTCCCATTAAATGAAAGGAGATATTTTTGCCTATATATATTGGTTTTCTACATTGTCTCTCTGCAACTTTCGGTTTGTTATTTATTCAGTGTTAGGTTAAGAGCGGATGCTTATAATCTAAGCAGTCACTTCTTCTTTACTCGTGGAGGAGCAGTTGACCGGAACCTTGCCATCGGAGACCTGTCCTGTAAAAATCTGGTAAATGATTAGACCATACAATCTGCTTTTGATAAATGTAACTTTTTTTGTGTGACCTCTCATTCATTTTCAATTGAACACATTTATGATTCAGCGGTCCTTCCGATCATAAATTTGGGGGCGCGAGGGGTTCTTCTAAATTTGTATCTTTATCTATCTTGTAAGGATTTAAGATGTGGTGATGGGATGGAAAAAGGTAAAACCAAAAGATCTGTGTAAGAGCATTTCTTTATGTCAATACTTCAACCATTTTCTTTATAGATCTGCATAGATGTTATTCTTTTTGTTATGGATTAATAACTAAAAAAACAAATTTGGAAGTGACATTTTTCTTCTTTTTGTTATGGATTATTACTACATTTTTCAATGTGAAAAATAACTTCCAATTCTGATTCAAAAGATTGGAAATCTAAAAACTCGTTCCGTTTCAAAGCTTCAGAAATTTCAGAATGTTGGAAATCTTGTCACCCTTGGATTAATTTCCAATTCTAATCCAAACATTTTCTTGGAATTTTGGAAACCGGAACGAAAAATACTGTTCCAAATTAGATGTTTTCGGATCGGAATCGGAGGAATTCGAAAATTTCATTACGATTTCCATCTAGTTGTGATGCAAATCAAAATTTTAATAGGACGCCTTTGTAAGACCTAATTTGTTGATGGCTTTTGAGTCTTGAACAAGAAGTCTTTTTCTAGTATCGATGCCTGTTTAGAATTCTTGATAGTACCCAGCTTTGATTTCACAGAATTCAGGCATACTAAACAGGGTTTTCCAATTTCAGAATTCAGGCAAATTTTGATTTCTCAGAAATAAACATGGTATATCTATTTCTCAGCTATATTCATTTTACAGTTTGCAGCCATGGCTGGTTCAATGGGAGGTCAATACTCGAAGAGCAAAAGAAAATCTAAATCAAACAAGTGTGACAAATCCAACATGAAGCCTGAATGAAGTCTTCAGTTCAATCGGGCAACAATCCTGATGAACCAAAAGACAAGAATCCTCAGTCAAATTATACGCAACACCTCGTGCACCTAACATCGATCGAATCGAAACTGCAATGAACTAGGTAATGAGAATTCAATATATGTTTCTTGTAAATTGGATGTATAGGGCAGTGCTAATGTTTCTTCTTCCACCACAGTTGGAGGAAGTTCGTTGAGATGAAAACGATGTTGGCTGTTTACAGAAGTTGATGTGGTTTGAATGGCACTCCGGCGACCTCAACAGCCACCAGCTCCATTCTGACCTAGATCCATATATAGTATATACTAGCTAGTGAGAGGTATATACCGAGACTCAAATTGCCCAAATTACACCATGCTGACACTGAAGCATTTAAGTTGAATGGATCCGAGTCTGTGAAGGAGGTGGCAGAAATTCTGAAGAGAAGAGATAATGCATCAGAAAACTTTCCGACTTTGAGAAGCAGGTTAGCAATTTGCAGTCACAGTGCGAGGAAGAAAAGCAGAGGTTGCTGCCAGCTGGAGCCAGAGTTGCTTCAAGCTAAGAGAAAAGCTGAGGTACGTCATTCCATTGAAATATATCTACTAATTATCTATGTGAATGCTGATTGTCTTGGTAATTATCTTATAATTATGAATTTACTTTTCCTCTGTTTTGCATCTAATCTCGCAAATTTTATCTGCTAGACATATTTTTCACTAACATATAGCTTTATCATATATTTATTCATGATTCCAGTTCAGTTATATTCATTTTACATTTTACAGCCTCTGGCTCTGGCTCTGGCTCGTTCAAAGGGAGGTAAACACTCGATGAACGAAGGCAGTTTCTTAATCGAATAGGTCTGGCACGTTGAACAAAGATGGCACATTTAACAAAGGAGCCTGAACTATTCAGTTCTAAGTTTCCTTCAGCACAATCGAGCAACAATCCTGATGGAACAAAGGATTTAAAAGACAAGAATCCTCAGTCAAATGTAATTCAAAGATTCGCTGTTGAAATCTGGATATAGTACGACAGAAGTAAGAAACAGCAATCTTAAGTGCTGGGCATATCCATGGTCGGATGGATATTCTCAATAATATTTTGACAAATTTAATCGCTTTTAATGAGAAAAGGGTTGAACCAACAAGCAAAATTTTCAAGAACATGGATGAGTTATACAAAAGTATGCTAGAAACCATTGTTGGATCTGCTATAGACTCCGCCAGACATGCAAAGGTCCGATGCCATATGCCATGTTTTAGGTGGACGCCCTTTGTCCGTATTCTGCTAAGAGAATTCAATCTGAATTGAATGCCGATCCATCATTAAATAAGGGCGGGACTATGAAAAGTGAGAAACTGTATGCTGAAAATCATATACGTTGAAGCTAAAAAATGCTCAATTTAGAGCCGACACTGAAGCGTTTAAGTTGAATGGATCCGAGTCTGAGAGGGAGGTGGCAGAAATTCTGAAGAGAGGAAAATGCATGAGAAAACTTACCGAATTATATCTACTAATTATCTATGTAAATGCTGGTTGTCTTGGTAATTAATTTAGTTTTCGTCTCTTTTGCATTTCCATTTGGTTCCCTAATCAAATTTATTTGCTAGACATATTTCTGAGAGAATCATTCCCACTTGTAAAAAACATGTCTTATTTCCTGTATTTGGATCTCATTGCACAAAAAAGAAGAAAAATAAAATAACAGTCCTACTATGGACTACTTCTGTTTCGTATTTATTTTACACAATATCATTGAGAATATCTCTGCAGTTATTTGCCCGATTCTTCTCTCTCACCAATCCCAAATTCCGGGGTGTATTTTCTTCACTAATACGAGTTTTATCGATTTTGGTTAATGACCAGTGACATTTTCATCCGGTCTTAACAATCCTTGTTGTCTGCGTCATTTTTTCTCTTTCTCGAAGCTCCAAATTCATGGTAAGTTCCCTTTTCTCGTATTTTGATCAGTATCAACAAATTTCAATGTAGTTATGTTCCTATATAGTCTTGCACGTCGCAATTATGTTTTATATGCTCCTGTTTGTTGTCATGTTGTTTGTGTGTTTGTTATGCGTGGAATTCGATTCTAAAAGATTGGAAGTTTTTTTGCGGTGTTAGGCCTGAATAATCGTTTTTAAATTGCATGATAAGCAGCTGGTTTTTCTGTGTATCTTACAGCGAGCAAACATTTTAACTAACTAGTTCTGAGAATTAGATCAGATTTTCCTTCTGATAACGAGAGTCTGCAAAGAGTACAAAAAAATTATCATTTGTTCTGTTTTGTTAATATTGCCTTCCATATCTTTCTTCTCTGAATTCCTCTTGTATACGATTTTGATTATATGTGACTCTAATGATACATTAGAACTTGTTTTTTTTTTTTTTTGTGTCTTTTATGGATGCATAGAAATTCATCACATCAATTTTTCTGGGGTTTTCGAGAATGCTGCACACGTACAGAGGTCAGTAATTTTTCTTCTTATTCTTTATTAATCTTTTGTTGCACTCTTTTGTTTCTTCTCATTGTGATTAAGTGTCAAACTATTTCGGAAAACAGTTTAGCAGGTTTCATAATTTCAACCCTAGATTTCATTCTCACTTACTCATAATGTCTTCAGTCATAATATACAACACTGGCATACACAATATAGAGGAGGTTCGATTACTAAAACATTTGACCAAAACATTTCTTTTCTGGAGGGGCAATGGCCCCTCCAAAGCACGCCTCGGTTACGCGCATGCGCACATTTTTACGAAAATTGTCTATATATGTCTTTAGATTACCGCGCATTAAATTTGACCTTATCTTGTTTCTAACGTCCGCGTCATTCTTATCTGGAACGCGGAAAATCTTATCTCCCCATTAAATGAAAGGAGATCTTTTTGCCTATATATATATTGGTTTTCTACATTGTTCATCTGCAACTTTCATTTTGCTATTTATTCAGTGAGTGAGAATTAGAATAGGTTAAGAGAGTAAGCAATCACTTGTTCTTTACGAGCAGTTGGCCAGAACCTTCCTATCGGAGACTCGTCCCGGAAAGATCTGGTAACTACTTAGGCCGTAGATCTGCTTTTGATAAATTATATTTTATTTTTCCTAATTCTCATTCATTTTCAATTGAACGCATTTTTATTTTGTTTTTGCATCAATTATCAATATAAATATGATTTACTGGTCCTTCGATTCCATAACTATTAGACATAAAATATTACGTTATTTATTTATTTTTTTCGGGAATGGATTTCGTAAAAGTTTTTTCCTCATCTTGAAACGGTTTATGATGTGGTACGAACGCACTTCTTTATGTCAGTACTTGAACCAATTTTCTTATAGATCTGCCGATATTTTTTCTTCTTTTCTTATGGATTGTAACATGTTTATTTCTTTTGGAAGTGATTTTTGTTTTCAATTCCGATTTCTTAAAAAATGGAATCGGAAAAATCAAGCTTCAGTAGTTTATGAATTTCGGAAATCTTGTCACCTTTATGATTTTGAAATAAATTCAGAAAATTTTGAATTGGTTTTGGAAATATTTGATTTAAAAAAAAAGATATAGATAATGTTCCATCTTGTGTATCGATGATGTTTCATCTTGTGTAAGTAATCATGATTTTTATTTTCAGTCGCATTCGTTTTACAGCCAATGGACTGTAAACACTCGAAGAGCAAAGGAGCAAATCAAATGGCACAACCAATAAAAAAAGCCTCGAGTATTCGATTCCAAGTTTGCTTTGGCAGAATCGAGCAACAATACCGATGGATGAAAGAATATCAAGGACAAGAATCCTCAGTCAAATATAACTTACAGATTAGGTTCAAATATGCTGAAGCCGAAGATTCTTTACTGAACTCCGGATATAATACGACAGATATTATATTCATAAGTGCTGGGCATATTCATGGCCAGGGGAATCTTCTGAAGAATATTCCGATAAATATCGAGAAGCTTTCAAGAACATGGGTGAGTTATACAAAGTTATGCTAGAAAGTATCGTGCAGACTCGCCCTTGGTCCGTATTTCTGCTAAGAGAATTCGATCTGCATTTGAATCCTGAAATCGATCATTAAAGAAGGTCGGGTTATGAAAAAAAGGGATCAATTTTTCACGCCTGCGTCAGAATCTTATTTCACGTGGAATGTCCTTAGTGTCCATGAAACGACAAATCGAGGGAAATTCAGATGAACAGAAAACTACTGCTCAGAGACGTACTCAGAAGAAAACGAGAAACTGGATGCTGAAAAATCACACGTGGTGAAGCTGAAAAATGGTCGAATTAGAGGCGATACTGAAGCGTTGAAGTTGAATGGATCCGAGTCTGAGAGGGAGGTGGCAGAAATTCCGAAGAGAGAGAAAATGAATCGGAAAACTTAATGAATTAAATCTACTAATTATCTATGTAAATGCTTGACTGTATTATTTGTAATTATTTTAGTTTTCCTCTATTTTGCATTTCCATTTGTTTCCCTAATTTCAGAAAATCACGTACTCCCACCTTGTAAAAAAACACGTCTTTAGGCGATCGGATAAATGTATGTATTATTAAAATTTGAATCTCATTTGCACAGAAATAACAATTCTGCTAGGCGATTGCGCTTGTTGCTTGTTCTATACTCTGATAAAACGACACTTATATGTACATTACGGAGACTTGTAAATTTGATTGAATGTATAGTTCTTTTATTTATATGTTTATATATTAGCAGAATATGAAATTGCTCCGTAAATTCCTAGTAATTTATCGGAGAAGTTTGGATTACTTTTTTTTCTGAATTTCCTTTTGATGTCTATTTGCAGGTGAAATGGAGACAGTAAATTAAGGAAAATAGCGTACGTTTGTCTTTCTGGCTGAAGAAATTACAACAGCCGAGATTCATAATGCCAATTCAAGAACCGAAGAAAGAATCAAGGTGTTTGGTCCGAAAATTATTCGAATGGGTAAATTACACACACACCCCTGAGGTAAGCTTAAATAACTGTAAGGTCCCTGTGGTATCGATAATTACATTCACCCCCCTGAAAGGTAGTTAAAAACTCTAACGGGATAATGCATTGTATACATTATTCCAATAGGGTTCTAATGGACTATTACTTTTAGCTAGTTGTGGAGATAACATAGAGTTATGGGGAGTTATGGGGTGACCTGGCTCCCCCAATATTTTTTAAATCACCCATAACTCTTAGTTGTCTTCACCACTTCCTGAAACCAATAGTCCATTAGAACCCTATCGGAATAATGTATCCAATGCATTATCCCGTTAGAGTTTTTAACTACCTTTCAGGGGGGTGAATGTAATTATCGATACCACAGGGACCTTACAGTTATTTAAGCTTACCTCAGGGGGGTGTGTGTAATTTACCCTATTCGAATTGCAGGTACGGAAAACCGGTGCTGAATTCATGGGATTCGTTGTTTAATCTGTTTAATATGGAATGTGTTTCTGTCAAGAACACTTAGTTTTATTCCTGCATGCATTTTGAACATCATGGACATGGAAAAGGTAAAGCCCGATTTGTTCGTGCCGAATGGAAAAAGATTGCAGACTGTGTGCGATACGAAATAATAAGTTCAAAAACAAAACTTGCCATTACAAGATGCATAAAAAAAAACCATTTAAAAAAAAAACCATTACTAAATAATGTAGTCTCTTATGTTAATTAAGCTTAATAAAAAGGTGCTGTATTTCTGCTGTCAGCACAGCTTAATTAGCAGAAACCCTTCTGATTCTTCCGAGGCAGTTGTCCTTTGGCCTCGTATGCGGTAAGTACATCAACGGACTAGCCGGATTATGCTGTTCAAGCCTGTCGAATAAAATTAAAAAAAATTATGAAATAATATTTGAAGAAAAAAAAAAAGAATCTTGCAAAGAATCAAGAAAAAACAGAGGGAAGAAATGGATGAAAGTGTAATAAACTAATTATAATAACTCACTCGTAATTGAGAAGAAAATGGTGAAGGAAAATCGAGATTTCGAGCTTTGCAAGATCATTTCCAGGGCACAATCTGCTTCCAGCACCAAAAGGAATGAAATTCCCTGCTTTTGGTGTAAATCCCTACAATCGAAGATTTGCATGATTCTCGTATATATTAAAAATAAAAAATAAAAAAAATAAAAAATAAAAAAATTATATTAAAACTCACATCCCATCTGGAAGGATCAAACTTCATTGGTTCGATATACGTTTCGGGATCGAAGTGCACACTTCTAAACCACACCAAGACTTTCCATCCCTTAGGAATCGTGTAGCCTAAAAAACAAAATGCCGTATTTAATCTCATTAACTCTTTTTCGCTGCTAAATTATCGATTATAATATGTATTGTAAGTCGAACTAACGAAAAATAGAACTTCTAAAATTCGGAAAACGAGGAGTTGAGAATTTGCAAGCTGCAGTACCACAAACATTGACATCTTTCTTCGCCTCTCGAAAAACCATCAGAGAGAATGTGACCACACGAAGAGTTTCATCGATCACCTGCGAAATTATTACATAGCAACGCGTTTTTTTAAACATATATAATTAGTCGTAATAGAAAAATAAAAAAAATAAAACTAAAAACACACCTTAGAAAGATACTCCATTTTACGTATCTCTTTCAAAGTCAAACCTTTTTGATCAGCCGGTCTGTTTCTCACTATCTCCTCTTGCTCAGCCTGTAATTCATAATATTTTATCGAACGTAAAACAATAACTACTAATCAAAATATCAATACTACATATAGATACATATATAAATATATATATATATATATATATATATATACCTTAGCTCTTTTGAACACATCGGGATTCTTTTGCAGAAAAACAGCGGCCCACATAGTAGTGTGTCCGGAAGATTCATGGCCGGCATTTAGGTACATAATCAAAACGTCGATTATTTCTTCGTCGGTCAATTTTCGACCGTTTTCATCTTCGGCACTCAAAAGAGAATCCATCATATCTTTCCTTGCGGTCGACGGATTTTTTCTCCTCTCCTCCCTTCGCTTAGTCACCACAGCTTGTAGTACTGCCACAAGATTTTTACGCGCCTGAAATAAAAAAATAAAAAATAAAAAAACTAATATTATTTAAGCATAAAGAAAAAAAGGGTAAACAAAAAACCCATATAATGCAGTATTCTTACAAGTTCTTGTCCTAAAGTTGACAAAATATTTATGAATTTACTATATTTAGTACCCCTATATTATACCAAATTGCTAAAAAAACTCCTCGTGTTATAAATATTAGCAAAGAAAACCCTATGATGCATTTCTTTTAGCACACAATCCCCTAAACGGTGCATTTTTTCACGGGGTATTTTGCTAATAAAATTGAATTAGACTTTGATAATATTTATAACACGGAGGGTTTTGACAATTAAAATAAACTCAAGGGTGCTAAATGCAATAAAAACCCAAAATGTAGTTTTTATTTAAAAAAAAAATCGTACCTTAAGTGCGTTGTAGTAAACGAATCCCGGTATATTAATCGCCATAGCTCGAACTCCGTAATTCAATGCGGTGTACTCCTTCTCGAGGGCCGCACGCACTTCCTCCCCCTCGGTGCTAAGAAAAATATGCATAATTATCTTGAAAGTGAGTTTTCTTAGCTCCGTCAAGAACTCGATTTGCCCCATTTCCGACCATTCTTCGAGGGCAATTACGACATTTTCTTCGATGTATTTCATGTAGACGGTTAATGCTTCGTATCCGTTTACAGGGGCGGCGGTTAATTTCCGTAGCCATTTGTGCTCTTCGTCGTAAATTCCGACAAACGATTTTCTACCGATGAGATTTACCGTGGAGGATGGCCAGCCTGGCCTGAATGCTTCGTCGTCGGTTAGAATTTTCCGACATGCTTCTGCTGACGTGGCAATGATACTAGGATTGCCAAACATGTGCACTTTGTATAGTCCCGTTCGACCGAATCTGCAAAAGAAAAAATCGAAAAAAAAGATCATTAAATTTTATTTTATTTTATTTTAATGCTGCTATAAATTAGATAAAAAGAACAAAATCACCAGTTAAAAATTATAGGTGCACCTAACTTGGTAACATGTGATTTTTAATTTATTTATTTTTCTATATATGTAAGAAGGAATTATTTTTTTAATTTTTTTGGGTATTTCAATATCTAGACAACTAACATGCTTAATTCTTGTTGCTGGGATTAGTTTTCAATTATTTGCATTATTGAGAGAGGAGATTTTAAAGATTTTTTAAGGGAAAAAAAATCGGGCCCTGAGATAAGGTTAAATTACAAAAAAAACCCATCATATTTGGATAATTACAACCAACCTCTCAACTTCGTACTCTCTTATGAAAAAAACACCTCATTCAGTTGCTAAATTTGACACCATAAGGATAGGTGTGTAAAACAATACGTAGATGAGGGGTTCTTTTGTAATTTAACCTTAACTTGGGGGCGTTGTCGTAATTTGCCAAAAGAAAAGGATAACTAATTAGTTGAAACAACAGAAGAAATAGAGGAAAAATACAAAATAAAGAGTGGATGTCACCTGGAAACAAGAAATTTGGTAAGAAAGAGATATTTGATTTAATTTAAATAAATTGAGATTTAGACTGAAATGTCACATCCACCAAAAGCCTGAAAGTGACTCAATTTTATTATTGTTCTTAATAATTAAACACAATTAAAGTACCAAGAAACATTGTAATTGCAGATAATTATTAGCATATTTTTACTACAACATCATAAATAAAAAAATAAAAAAATACTGTTTCCAATAAAAATGGGAAAAGATTCAGTTTTTATTTCAGTTTATTCTTGGAAGATGATCATGCACCCCATTATAACTAATAGCTATATATACCAACAATTGAATAAGCTAGCTACTGCATGAGAGAGAGAGAGTTTTAGAGAGAGAGAGAGAGGGAGAGAGAGAGAGAGAGAGAGAGAGAGAGAGAGAGAGAGAGAGAGAGAGAGAGAGAGAGAGAGAGAGAGAGAGAGAGAGAGAGAGAGAGAGAGAGAGAGAGAGAGAGAGTTTTAGAGAGAGAGAGAGAGAGAGACCTGTGAATGAAGGAGGAGGTGAAGGAATCAGGATTGGAAGACTTGAAAGCAGAGAGGAAAGACAACATATTACCAATGAGAGGCCAACCCATATCACCTGGTGGTAGATTATACCTTATTTCATCTCCCAATTTTCTCTCATATAACCACTTATTTACACTCTTCGCCACCCACCACCCAACTATTACAATACCCAACAAACACCCCACAAACAATCCCAAACCCATGATCATTTAAAACCCAAAATAAAATAAAATAAACTTTTCAATATTTCAAGAAACTCAAACACACACACATATATATACAGAGAGAGAGAGAGAGAGAGAGAGAGAGAGAGAGAGAGAGGGAGTTTAATGAAAATGAGAGAAGAGAATCGAGGAGGAGGATTTGGTTTCAACAAAAAGAGGTAAAAGTTATTATGGTGTGAAGAGGTGATGGATATTGTTGAGTATAAATGGAAAAAAAATATGTGAGAGGACAGAGAGAGAGAAAAAAAAATTAAATCTTTGCCGGCTTAATTAGAAACTATTGATTTTTGTGTTGTTGCCTTAAAAGAAATGATTTTTTATTTATTTTTAGTAACAAAGCTATCTGCAGCTAATTATATAGGTGCTTTAGGTGGATATACAGTTTCATATAATAATTTGTGATATACGAGAAATGTAAACTGTATTGGGTTAAATTCGACCTGACCACAATTGCTAAGAAGTTGATATACAAACTCATTTGCTTCAACAGTTACGCACTTTTATGTTTGTGTAATTGTTGTTTCTGTCTTTATGCGACACATACAAAACCCCCACTCAAACTTACTAGACAAGATCAGGTGCAACACAATTGTGTAGCCAATCTCTTTTATTCTCTATTCAATTATTTATATCTTTTTTCTTTTTAAAAGTTACCGTCATCTTTGAAATAAGATTAAATTACAAAAAAAATCATCATATTTGGGTAATTGTCATCCTTGAAATAAGATTAAATTACAAAAAAAATCATCATATTTGGATAATTATAATCACCATTCAACTATAAATCTTCTTACACGTTCACCTCTATGGTGTCAAATTTAACAGAATTTTCAATATTTCGTGAAATGTTCTACTTTTTGTGTAGAAATTCAGTTTCTGATGCACCACAATCTGATATTTACAATCCAAGAGACACATCTTATGATCATCTTGTTTGAAAACGCGGGACTCGAATGGAGTAAAACGGGTACAAACTGGAGAATGTTCCACATATATAATCTAGAAGATTCCACTAAATTTAACATCGTTGTAGACGTGTATAAAGATTCATAATTGATGGGTTGTTGTAATTATCAAAACATGAAGGATTTTTTCGTAATTTGAATTTACCTCGACACGATGAGTGTAATTTACCCAATAAAATAAGATGTAACTATGTAGGTTTGAAATCTAAAACTAAATATGGTAATTTCTTTTTATGTTTTTCGAAATTTTTGAGATATAATCTTTTATGTTGGTTTTTTAATATTTATATTAAATTTCATAAATATTGTATTTGTAAAAAGTAGATCATATATATATGCATATGATTCATATGTTCATGAATATTTAATTTCAGCAGCGAAAAGGTTTAAAAGCAAATTAAATAGTGTATTAAGGAATTAGGTTCATATGTATGGATTCATATGCTCATGTTTTAAGGAATTAGATTCAAATAAATTATGATGGAGCATTATTCTTAATTCTAATTTTGAGTCGTCTTATTCTAAAGCGGCAATTTGCTATAGGTCCCTCTATATTATAATTTATGTGTGTAAATCCAAGTCAAAATTAATGTTTTAATAAATTAATAATATTTATTATGGCAAAAATACCCTTAATTAAATCAAATCAAATCCTCAAAAATCTCTCTATCAAAACAAATTTCCAAACATATCTCTTAACAAATTAATTCATAATAAAAATATACAATTTATTTTACAAACTCATACTCTAAAAACGCCACCGCAGCCCCACCACCGCCTATGATCCGGGAACTGCGACGCCTATGACTCCGCGAACTGCAAATAGCAAACTGAAAATTAGATTTTATATTATTGAACTACAAACAACAAAGTATCTATGATTTCGTCAAATGCAAACAGCAAACTGAAAAAACAAAATCCATAATTTGTATTACTGAATTACAAACAAAAAATTACCTATGACTTCGTCAAATGCAAACAACAAACTGAAGAAAAATATTCAGCAAAACTTGCATTATTGAATTGCAAGCAATAAACTACCTATATGACTTGGCCAAATGCAAACAGCAAACTGAAAAAAAAAATAAAAAAAAAATCAGCATCATTAAAAACATCAACCAAAAAATTGTTTATGGAACAATTTGCAAACAACAAAAACATTAAACAAAATGTTTGTAAAATGTAACTTAAGGCATACCTTGCAAATTGTAAACTAGAGGAATCGAATCTCAACATCAAACAACAAACGAAGTTAAACCAACCTGAAAACAAAAATTGCTAACAACAAAAACGATGGGAAGGTTCTACGTACGGGAGACACAATGTGAATTTTTGCTATGATTTTGATTTCTAATTTTTTTTTTGGGAGGGGATGTTTGTTGTCCTCTTTAATTATTTCACCAAGAAATCATCTCATAATGTAAAAAGATCCTTGGTTTTTCCTTCTCTATAATATTTCTTCATTAAGAAAAGAAAAAGAAAAAGAAAAAGGAAAAAAAAAAAGAAGCACGAGACACAGAGAGAGGTGTGAGAACGGAGATGGATGCAGAAGAAGAGATAGATGAGGAATTAAATATATGGGGGATTAACGTGAGATTGGAGAGAGATGATATATAAAATTTGTTTTCTTATTAATTGAGGGTATTTATGTATATATACTAATTATTTTAATTTATTTATATTAATTTATTGGGTTAAAGGACATATGCCTATATTCATCTAACAACTAGGATCTCTACCTATATAAGTCCAAAATAAGGGGTGTCTAGCAAATTTCCCCTATTCTAAATTCTAATTGTGAGAGTTAAGTAACATCCATATATATAGTAAGTCTATGTTGACTACAGTCATTTTAATTTGGAAGTCTAAAGAAATACAGATTGTTGTTGGAACGGGACCGGTTCGACCGCGGTCCGATTTGACCTCGGTCAAATGATTAAAACCAGGAACCGACAAACTGGTCAAAGAATTCGATTTTCGGCCAAAATAGCTCAAAAGAGTTGGTTATTTGTGGCTGGATATGAGCGAACCACCACGTAAAGTGTTGTGGATGAGCGGATTTGATCATGGGTGGTCGAATAGGGATGGCGGATTGCCGAATTTGGAGAAGAAATAATGGAAAAATATAAAGAGAAAGTAAAAGAAATATAGTAAAAAAAAACAGGATGAGGTGGATAAAAGTGAAAATTAAAAAATAAAAAAAAATAGTATTTTTAAAATATTAAAATTAATAAAATAAAATCAAATTAAAAAAATCCGATTGAATCGGTTCCACCTTATCGAACTATGACCCAAATGGTCGTCCGGTTCTACAGCTGGTCCGATTGTTACAACATTGTATATAACTAAGTTAGATATTGTGCAATGGCAAGTGATATTTTGACTAGTTAGAATCCACCAAGCATATCTTGGAACTTGTTCAAACTCACTTTGATTGCCTGCCACTAGCAATAAGTGAATACGCCCCTTCTTATCTTCTTCTATTTTGGTCCAACTAGTCATGTTTATTTGTTTTTCTTTTTTGATCATTTAAGTATGGATAAATAACACTTTCAACCCCTGTAGTTTGACTTTTATGCAATTGATCTCCTTATACTTTCAACATAGCATATAACCCCTTGTATTTTAATATAAACACAGAACCTTCTTTTACTTTCATCTTCCTAATGAGCATGATTATTTATTATGGGGAGATTATGCACTTATATTAGAAATACAAGGGAGTCACGTGCATAAAGTTCAAATTATTACAGAGAGTCATGTGTTTTTATTAAAAGTACAAGAGACATATGTGCACTAAACCCAAACTACAGGGTAGTTAAGCAGTGTTCTAAAAATCGGTCGAGGCGGCCGATTAATCGGTCTCCGAGGCGGAGGCGGTCCAAAACCTTTACGATTTTAGTGTAAAGGTTTGAAAAATCGGTTTTTTGCCTGTGAGGCGGTTTTAGGCGGTCTGAGTCGGTCCGAGGCGGTCTGAGGCGGTCAAACCTTTAAGGCGGGTCAAACTCGGTGGCAAAAAATCGGTTAAAAATCGGTTTTTTTTTTTTTTTTTATTTATTATTTATTTTTTTATTTTATAATTCAATATAAAAGTTGGATTTTAATAAAAAAAAATATGAGTTTATGCCTTATTTTGTTTATGTTAATTGTTATTGTTAAAGAATTAATGATGTATGCCACGAATGTTCAAGAATAAATGTAAATTAAAAAAAAATGTTTTTTTATTTATATTTTATAAGGATATTTATGTATTATGATCTTATGATTATTAAACTTTTATTATGTTATTAGGATATATACATGATGGAGATATAACTATGTTTAAATATCTTTTTACATATGTTTGGAGTATTTATAAATAATATTTAGAAATATATTATATTAAATTTAAAAAACCGATTTATTTCCGATTTATCACCGATTAATCGTGAGTCGGTGCCTGACCGACTCGGACCCGATTACCGATTTTTACAACATTGTAGTTAAGTGCTATTTATCCATTAAACATTGAAACATCAATTTGCATGTTTACATGGGTTTAAGTATCAAAAATTTATTTATAAGAATTCATTTAAATGTAATCAATTATTCGGTCACGTAGATGTTATATTGTTTATTGTACATATATATATGTGAACATGTATGCAACAAATATATACAAGTGCAGGGCTAGATATTACCCGATGTACTGCACCGAGTGTAATGTAAAACAAACACGCCTTTTCAACTCAACAGAAAACACTTGGGAAAATCAACTTACAGTTAAAAATCTCTGTAAATTAATACAATCAGACTAGAGAAATTCTATTAAATTAGCAAAATATTAGATTATTGAGTTAAGAGTTTAACACGTTCTCACCAATTTAAGCGAGGTTATTAATTTATTGAGGTTCTATTGTATATTTAGTCCAAATCTATTAACTTAAACCATCACAATTATGAACTATTTAATAAAAAAAATTAAAAAAAAAAAAGGAAGAGAAAAGAGAAACCATGCCTCAAAAAACAAGCAACTTTGAGAGATAGTGATGACTGATAGTGTCTACTTGTGTAGACTGCAATATACAAAGAAAGTTATTACAGTATTATAAGTAGTCAGAAGATTAGTCACTCAAAACATATCATAAATCCAATTAACTGAAACATAGTCAAATACACTGATCAGAAAGTATTAAGATATTTATCACAGAGGTTAAAAATCAATAGTAACCATTGCAAATCAAAACCTGCAAAACCAAGCTTAGCCAGGCAAAGTAGGAAGCGCTTTCACATCTGGAGAAGGTGAATCGGATATAGAGATCAGCTCAGACCTATATTTCTCGTCCCCATCGTGTTTCAGCGGTCGACTCACTTTCTCACCACCTGTATTGTTGTTGGTTGACTTTTCAGCAGTTGTACCCTTTTCAGGTACTCCGTAAGAAATCGAAATTAGTGACTCGCGAGTCACATCCTCGGACGGATCTTTGCGGGGTTCTTTCTTGTCCATGTGTGATATTAATCTGATCAGTCCTGCAAATACCAAATTTCAAATGGTGAAAAAGTAAAGAGAAAAAACTCTAACGAACCGGAAAAAAATAATTTGATTCGCGATAGCAAATAATGTGCATTCGTAACTGGCCTCGACTTTGTTCAAATTCGAAGCCGGGCATCGTTACTTGGGTAGATAAGCTCGATGACATCGGAACTTGTTCTACCTATCCAACCAAGGCACTTAGATCAGTTCGAATGTGAATATTTCTCTATTTTTTTTTTAAATTGGTTTCTGGCTACTCGATTTCTTGAAAAAAAAGGTAAAGAAAAATAATTACAAACAATATATATATTATCCCACAAAATCAACCGGTACTTGGTCGTTGCAGATAATCCTAAAAGATCGTCAAGAAGTACGTATAGGCTATAACCATTGTGATTTCCCAAGCCCAAACGAACTTCCACCAATTACCACAAGAACCATTAACATAAAATATAAAGAAATAAAGTTTAAAAAAAAACGAAGTGAATAGAATCCGGTAACATCTTATTAATCTAGTACAAGCTGAAATTTTCTTTAAATAGTTCAAGATATGTGTTAAACAAACAGAGCATACACAACAAACATATCTGCGTGTTCTAAATCAACTTCTAAGGTAAAGAACAGCCTAACACGTTTACCAATCGGGCGATGGCAATAAAAATCAAATCAATAATGTTTTTCAACACGAATTTTTCGTACTCTTAGCACACAGGCCATTCGGAAAAGAAGTTTCGAAATATAAACCGAAGCTAACAATCAATAGAGCTTGTCAAGAAAATGAAATTCGAGCTTTTACAACAAGTTTCAAGCATGAGCTTCTATTCACACAAACAAAATTTATATTTTATGAACACCGACCACACAAAAATCCAAGAAAAATCAAATCCAAATTGTAAAAGCCTTCAACATTCAGAAGAAAAACGGAGAACTCTCAAATCCAACAGCACCGCAAACTCTAAAAACACGTAATTTCTGCCGAAAAAAAAAAAAAATATATATATATATATATATATATATATATATATATAAGAAATGCTCAAATCTTCAACATAAATTGCATCAAAAAAATTATTTAAAAAAAAACTATGTGGAAATTACAGATGCAATTCAAATTCATCAGGAAATTCAAATCGACAAAACTTGAAAACCTAATTACATCAACACAGACACTCGTCCCAACAGATTCATCTCAAAAATCAGAAGGTAAGCTAAAAGTCAACACAAGTCAAACGCGTAATACTTGAAGAATCGGGGTAAGATTATAATAAACACATAGAACAATCAAAAATGAATTCATCGAAAATTTCATGGAGGAATCGAATCCAACTTTATTATTCGCACAATCAAGTAAAAAAAAAAAAAAAAAAAATCGGAGTGAATAAATGGAGAAAAATAGAAGATTACCTGCTTGGTGGAATTAGGAAGTATTATGAACTACAGTGGTTACTGTTTCTGGTTGTGGGTCATTCAAAATAGACTACGGTTGGTTGATCTACTTTCCTTAAATACGACGACGCTTCTAGAATTCTATTTTTACACTTTGCACCCTTGAAATTGAGCATTTTTTCACTTTACTCCCTTGAAAAATAATAAAAGCACTTTGCACCTTCAAAACATAATAAATCATTAACAATGCACCCTTAATTGAATAATAAAGGGTGCATTATGCATGATATATTGTGTTTCGAGGGTGCAAAGTGCTATTAGTTTGTTTCGATGGTGCAAAGTACCAAAATGGTATATTTCAAAGGTGCAAAGTGGTATTAAGCCAATAATGTGCGGTGTTATTTTCACATCTAAAGTATTGCAATTCACCACAAAAAATATATGAAATATCATAAATGCCCCTCAAATTCACCATTTTTTTTGTATTCGTTTAATCCTCTTGTGTTCTAAGTTATTTCTATTTTTTTTGCAATGACATAGTGACAAGATATTAAACTTCTATATCAAATGACATACATTTCTTTTTGTGGGGAAATAAAATTATATTAAGCCAAACTAGTTTATTGTAGAAGAAGTTCATGACCTTCAGTACAAGTACTTTTAATTTTTTTCTTAAAAAACTTGAATTTCGGCTCTGTTAATCTTTGGAGACGTTTTTATCTGACGAAGATATTGTTCATTTAAGATGGAGGGGGTGGGTTTTTGCGGTAAAGATTTCAGTGAAAAATGGTGGAGTTTTTTATAAATTTTTTAATTAGTTTAGTGGTGGACGGTTTATGAATTTGTACAAAATATAGGCGAAAGAAGAAAGGAGGTAAAATAGGAAATATATGTAATTTGGTGATGAGATAAGATACTTTGAGGGTGAAAATAACACGTATGTAAATAAAACGTAATGAAAACATAAAATGAGGCGATATGGTTTACACGGTCATTGAGATGTTACACCCGATGAAATACATCGGGTGATTTTTAACTATTAATATGGTGAAATAACTTTCTGCTAGCACACATACACATGAGTGTATAAGATTATGTACAGATCAACGATTAATAATCACCCAATTGACCAGAAGTGGCATACAATAAACTTGGTTTACATATAAAAGGGGGTTTGATTACAATTAAAATTGGTCATTTCAAGTCAAATTTATAATAACAAAAAAACATTGATCATGAAAATAAAAGGTTATATTCAATATTAATTAATAAGATATATTAATTTAAAAAAATGCCCATTCAGTTTTGGGCCTACAACTTTTAGGGTGAAAGGCCCATTTCTCAAGGCAGATATAAAGTGGGGTGGGTTGGACAGATACAACTTATTCAACCAATTATTAGTTATTTTTTAATTATCAATCTGTTAAATTTAATTAATATTGTAATCTACAAATTTAACTATTTTTATATAAAAAAATATATAATCTCAATGAAAATATTTTATGTAACATCATATTTTTATACTATTTTATGTCATTTAAAAAAGGGTAAATTACAAACACCCCCCTGAGGTATGGTCAAATTACAAAAACCCCCCTCTTGTTTGGATAATTACATCTACCCCCTTCAATTGTGATTTTTCTTACACCTCCACCCTTATGTGCCAAATTCAACATATCATCTATATTCCGTGGAATGTGCTCTAGTTTGTACTCGTTTTGTGTAAAATACAGTTTTCGATGCACCACAAACTGATATATACAAGCTAAAAAACACATATTATGATCATCTTGCTTCATAATGTAGAGTTCGAATGGGATAAAACGGATACAAAAGTGATAATATTCCATATAATCTCGAAGATTCCACTAAATTTGAGGAGTTGAGGGGGTGGTTGTAATTATCCAAACAAGAGGGGTGTTTTTGTAATTTGACCATACCTCAGGGGGGTGTTTGTAATTTACCCTTTTAAAAAACGATATTGCTATTCAAAATAATAAAAAAAAATATACACGATTTTCGAGCTGAAACATCATATTCAATTTGAGCCAACAAAAAAACAAATAACAAAATAGTGGAAATGCCAAAAAAATGTCACACTCACCGTAGTTCAAATACTTTAAACTCAATCACTCAACTTAACTGCACATCCAGTTGGAATTTAATTGACCAATCTTATCCATTAAATCAAGGGTATTTCCGTCCAACGATAATTGGCAGGTCAATTACATGAATTGGTATATTTCCCAATGTTTTTGTTTATGAATACATTAGTTTTCAGAAGAAAAAAAAAATAATTATATTACATCTCCTCTTTTTTTCTTTTAGCCCTAGGAGTGTTACTATATTGTTCAAATCCTTAATGAAAATCAATAAATTTGGAGGATTAGCTAAAGACCCTCATTCTTAATTTCAATAATACTAAATACATCAAATTTTTTACAACAATGAAATTACGTTTATCGTTCACTTCTAAAAAAAATCCTTGCATTTTTGTTGGTTAATTGTCACATAAAACAGTGTGAGGTGCGTCTGCGAGCGAACAATATATGACATACACACTAGTGAATCTATGTGGATGCGCTATGTTTACTGACTGAAATGAAGTTTTTATTAAACGGGGAAAAAAAATACAAAAATTCTAGTCCTTATTGATCATGATTGTCAATGTGTAGTGACTATTAGTCAATTTTATCTCTAATTAAAGTCAAAATTGATGTAATAATATTAACAAAACTAGCCTATTGTATTAGTTAATTTTGTCCTTAATTTGAGTCCAAATAGATGTAATAATAATAATAATATTAATTATGTAAATATCCTGTGTCCTTGAATTTCACACTTAATCCCAAACAGAGAAAGTAAGTTTATGAAAACACAGGTGCTGCAAATATGAAAAATGGAAGAGATTGACGCACAAACAACCAAGTTCCACACTGCTCCCTCTCTCTCTCTCTCTCTCTCTACACAAACTTTCTCTCTCTAAATTCACGTGCCAATCATAGACTTATCATGTGACGCCTCCGTCCCACTCTCTGCCTGGTGCTGTCTCTCTGTAATCATCCCCCTCCCCCTTCACACACACACACACACACACACAGTCGTTTCAACTCTCTTCTTCCATCGACTAATCATTTTTTAGTTCAGAGAAAGCACCTATATAGAAAAAACCGAGCTTTCTTTTTTTAACCCATAAACATGACTCAGTGAGTTAGTGAGTGAATGTGAGATGGGCTGTTTTCAGTCCAAAACTGCCAATGTCCAGTCCCCCGACCAGGACCCTTCGCTGCCCGACTCCAAACCAGATCTGGGTATTTCTCCTTACCCCTCTCTCTCTCTCTCTCTCTCTCTCTCTCTCTCTCTCTCTCTCTCTCTCTCTCTCTCTCTCTCTCTCTCTGTGTGTGTGTGTGTGTGTGTGTGTGTGGCAATCACTTGATATTTTGTGTGGCCTTTTGTTGTTCAAGATGGATTGTGTTATTGAACATTAGCATTTAGCAATGTCAAATTGGAGCCGTACTGCATATTTAATTTATTTATGATTGGTGCCCACATATTTATTTATTTATTTTTATGCACACGATCTGTTTGCAAAAATGCAATGCTTTTTTTTGGTTATTTTTTTTGTGATGATGACTATTGTGTGGTGATGAAGCAAATGGGGAGCAAGTAGATCCAGATCAAGTACCCGCATTCAGAGAATTCGGACTCGCGGAACTACGCGGCGCAACAAACGGTTTCAGCAGCGAGCTTATAGTTTCCGAGAGTGGAGAGAAAGCGCCCAATGTTGTCTACAAAGGTAAGCTTCGGAGTAATCGCCTCGTCGCCATTAAACGCTTCTCAAAGCAATCGTGGCCCGACCCTCAGCAGTTTGCGGTGAGTAATCTATTCGTTCATCTCAGCTTATGAACTAGTACCAGACATAATCGAGATGGAACATATAACTTCCATTCTTGTTTTTTTTTTTCGGTTTTTGATGATGCTGTTATGCTTCTAAGATGTATGTAATTGTGTATATATATTTACAGGCAGAAGCTGCTGGAGTAGGTAAGGTTAGGCATAAGAGATTGGTGAACTTAATCGGATGTTGTGCCGAAGGAGACGAGCGCTTATTAGTTGCTGAATACATGCCAAATGATACTCTGTCAAAGCATCTCTTTCACTGTATGGTTTCTTTTCATTTCTCGTCATATATTGGCAGACTTAATTGGATTTTTGTTTCGAATAAAATGTATTCTATTTTGTTGGAAGTATATATTTTTTTTTCCTGAAATTTCCCGAATAAACGAGTTAAGCATATAAACTATCAACCCAAAGTTACGTCTTAACTACTTTATATGTTTCCGTTTCATTTGTTATGTATCCATTTGAGTGTGTAACTTTCTATGTCTTGCTGCAGGGGAGAAACAGCCTCTGCCATGGGAAATGCGTGTGAGAGTTGCGTACCACATGGCGCAAGCTCTTGAACACTGCACTGCTGAAAATCGGAAAATTTATCACGACTTAAATGCTTACAGAGTTCTTTTCGACGAGGTACTTGTGTTGTACATATGTTATGTTTAGGACTTCGTCTTCCCAAAGCGCTCTCTCTCTCTCTCTCTCTCTCTCAATTTTGTTCGCGGTACTTATTGAATTAAGGTGTTGTATTACAGGAAGGTGACCCTAGATTATCGAGTTTTGGTTTGATGAAGAACAGTAGGGATGGGAAGAGTTATAGCACCAATTTAGCTTACACTCCTCCCGAGTTTTTGCGTACAGGTATATTTTGTATTCCTTGTAGCTCTGCCTTATCGTTCACAATTAAAATACGGTCAACAACTATTTTAAAATTTGTTTTCTTTTTTCCATTTTGTTTATTAAGTTTGATAACTCTTGGTCTCCGCGTAATATATGGTCGTCGAGATTCCTATCAAAATCTAAATCGAGGAAATTTAACTGAATATGCAGTTTCTGCTTAAACTATAATTTCACCCTTCTCACCTAGTTCTTAAGGACGATTCTGCCCCTCAGAATTTCTTCTACGTAATCTATCAGTTTGAAAATACTAGGAACTTCTGGCCTTTGTTTAAAGTGTCGTTCTTTACACCACCCCCCGCTACAAGTATCTCCATATGCATTTGACTCACTATCAATTATCTACACATTATTATTTTTTTTGCAGGCAGGGTTATTCCAGAAAGTGTGATATACAGTTACGGAACAGTTCTTCTGGACCTTTTGAGCGGAAAGCATATCCCGCCTAGCCATGTATAGTGCATTTATTACTATAATAGTGTTTTTTTGCTCTAAAGCATATATACAAAATTTGTATACATTTTCAAAAGTAACTTGTGATTATGTTTTTAACCTTTTCTTCGGTGACTACTTATCTTAGCATAATAAAACTAAGAGAAAATATACCACTATACAATACAAGTGATTTATCGTCATTGATTTCCGAAGTGCTTCTAGAAGATTTACAGTGATTTTTTGTAAATCCAGGCGTTGGATTTGATAAGAGGAAAGAACGTTCTATTGCTAATGGATTCTTCCTTGGAAGGACAATATGCCAACGAAGATGCTACTGCTTTAGTCGAACTTGCGTCAAAGTGTCTCCAGTACGAGGCCAGAGATAGGCCCGATGTTAAGTTTCTTGTTACTTCTGTCGCACCCCTCGAAAAGCAAAAGGAGGTAATTATTCCGTTTCTTTTTTTCTTTCTTTTTTTTAAGTGCTTATAATTTATAATGTATTCTTGGTTTCGACAAAAGGTTGCATCACTTGTGCTGATGGGGCTGACGAAAACACCAGTGGTATCATTGCCCACCATGCTTTCTCCACTCGGAAAGGCGTGCGCGAGAATGGATCTTACAGCCATACACGATATTCTTCTCAAAACTGGATATAAAGACGAAGAGGGTGCTGAGAATGAGGTGAGCTTATTTATTTCTTCCCTTTTTAAAAATAAATAAATAAATAAAATACACGTGTCTGAAAATTTGCTCGTTCTTACATGACGATCACTTGATGTTGTAATGGTGAAGCTGTCCTTCCAAGAATGGACACAACAAGTTCAAGATATGTTGAATACGAAAAAGTTTGGAGATATTGCATTCAGGGACAAGGACTTCAAAAGTGCTATCGAATACTACTCTAAGGTATCGAATTTTACCAAATGCTTGTCTCGTTCTCTCTTTTACTTAGAATTAATTGGCTGCCAATCTCGAGTCATGGTTTTGAAAGAGTGTTTAAGTCATCAAGTTTTTATTTTTGTGCATTACTTGCTTTTTCTCTCTCTTTTTTCTCGTCTCAACGGATGAAAATTCCGATTTGGCAATTAAAAAGAAGTGGTGACTATATATTCCCTGATTATAACCAAAGTAGAGATCCTTTGACCTAGCCCCCAGTCGTATTTATCGAATTCTGCCGATTTGATCCGAAATTTTCCAATTTTGGAATTTTTCATTCCGGTTTCTAATTTTTTGGGAACGGGATTGGAATACATATTAGATTCGTATTTTCAATTCGATTTTGTATCTGACCAAAAAGTTGGAATTTTGAATTGTGCCGATCCCAATCCGAAATTTCCAACTTTATAACATTTTTTTTCATTTCAATTTCCGATTTTTTTTGTTCTCCCCGATTTTCACCCTCAATTTTAATATACAAATTTGTTATTTTTCAAGTACCGTAGATTTTCTTTTTCTTTCTTTTTGAACAATTGAATTATGTATATTAGCAACTATAAGAAACTAAATAAAAAAAAATGGTCTACATTATTTTTTTTCGAATATGCAGCTGGTGTTGATGATGCCGGTTCCATCTGGAACAGTGTTTGTGAGGCGGGCCCTCTCGTATTTAATGATAGGGCAACCGGAGCTAGCGCTAAGAGATGCTATGCAGGCTCAAGTTTGCCTGTCGGAGTGGCCCACGGCATTCTACATGCAGGCTCTTGCCTTGTCCAAACTCGGAATGGAGACTGATGCTCAAGACATGCTCAACGACGGAGCCTCTTTCGAAGCTAAGAAGCAAAACAGCTGGCGCCACTAAGTTTATATGTATTATTACAGAGAGAAGCTACTTAGGAATGCTGTGGGTTGTCTTGCTAAAACTGTGTCCAATTTAATTTTTTTTTTCACTACATGAAATGTGACATGACAATGGATTTTTGATCCGGGTGCAGAGTTTCTCGAAAAGTATGCAGAGAGAAATGTATAAAAATCGTTGTTTAGGCTTGTTATTTTCTCGATAAGTATGCAGAGAGAAATTACGTTCGATACGCGAACCAGTTCATTGTGTTTTTAGAGATTCTGCTGCTACTGTATTTTATCATGACTCGACGAGCTGCGTGCGATGACTCGTTACTATTACCTATGCACTACTGTCTATTTAGGAAGCACAGAATTAGCCTACAAATAAAAAATGCTTGTAGTGCAGACATATTGTCATTCAAATATATTTCTCAAGAAAGGAGAGAATTCACAGAATTCAAACTGTAACATTGTTATTACATCAACAGGAAACAAACCGAGAAACACCAAAAGTAGAAACGCAATGCCTCCGACTCATTAAAACTTCCATTATGCATCGTCACAACCTAACAAAAAGAAAGGACGAAAATAATCCATTTCAGTTCTCATCCGTTTCACAAAACTAACTAAGCTCATTAGAAGACGATCGAATGATTTATTAGGAAAAGAAAAGATAATGAAATCCAAGTCCTTCGTGTTCAAATTTCCAGTCAAAATCTAGGGCAATTAGCAAATCGTGAAATACTTTCGAATAATTGCGCATTTTCTTCTCTTGTTTCCAAGATGGAAGGAAATGACTCAAGAGATAAAAACAACAAAGGGAGACGACTTATAGCACATACGACATGAGTAGGCTTTTATAACACGAAAAAAAATAAAAATTTAATAGTCTTTCTGCAGCACAATTAAAATTTAAACACTGATCGCGACCAGTGTTAGAAAGAAGAGTTCGTACACAAAATGTTCCTTGCCTTCCCAAGTTCATCACACATCATCACAGCAAGCTGATTAAATAAAGAAAAAATTGTAAGCTCAATCTTGATTATTAGATCTAATTTTCTTTGACATTAATTACCCATATAGTTAATCGTGACCCCAATCAGTGAGATTACACAGATACGACTATTTTCAGCTCATAAAAAATACTAATGTTTATCTATCTGGTGCATACTTTGGCTATGTAGAAAATGTACAAAACAAGTTAATGTGAAGAAACGAGGTTAAACTGACTTCAGCGCATGAAAATAAATCACAAGAAAATGAAACTTAACTAATGAGAGCTTAATCAAGCTGTTCGATATGAGAACAGATATTTATTGTGCAAATGTAAAAGAGTCAAAGGATGTCTATTCAACAACGTAAAGCATTGACTTCTTTTACATAGTGTTCTGAAAGAGAGAATTAAAGCATTGCTCTTTGCTTCTGCATCTTCATCTAGTCTTGTCAACGCCTACAATACGAATGAAGAAGACACTAGTTCATAAATATCAGGACAAAGGCTTGGGATACAAAGTTTTCTCAATAAACTAGGGAATACAGCATGAAACTGGAAGACATATTGTTATCATCTTTATCAATCCCAATTCACCATAAACGAGAAGGAAAGATAACACGAAAGAGGGTTGATATAGAACGAAATGTTATCAACTACTAGGCTCAGTTGTATCCTATAAGCTCTAAGATACTTCAAATGTTAGGAATCAGGACATTGTCGAGTAGAAATCTAACTCACCCGATAAATAGAATGATGGTAAGGGCAGCAAAAGGGAGCTCTACAGTCGTTGCTAGATACCTAAATCAAGAAGCAAAATTCACTGGTTAGGAGACCTATAAGCATTTACTAAATTTAGGAGTTTACTGCAGAGCAGGAGTGAAGAGATTTCACTGAGTTGTGGTTAACGGAGAAAGATGATGGAAAGAAAGCATAGAGTGACACATTTAAGACAGTTATCCAAGAATACTTCAAAGGAGAATTTGAATATTATAACCATTTTCACGGGTCACTCCAACAAAACTTTTATGCCGTGTTAAAAGAATAAAATTAAACACTTAGAGATTAAATTGTGGTTATTGGGATAGCCAACGGATGTAAGGAGCTGTTTTCTTAGCAAAAAATGATTTGAGAATAGTTTGAGAACTCTCGGTTGAACTATGTCTACAAATATTTTCTACTAGAATGAAAATCCATTTTATGATCATTCCCTTTTCAAGAATCCTTCTCCAACAACAAAGTCATTAAAATTCAGCAGCAAGCTAGAAACTTCATTTAAAAAAGAACTATGAGAATTCAACAGCTTATAGAAGGATTAGACCAACATTAACTTGGACTTCGTGTTTTTCTAAGTATTTCCATATTAGACGGGGAAATTAAAATGGTCTAAAGAAAGGTCAATATTCACAAACCCGTACCCCATTGTTCAATCTTGCTCATTCCAATAGCACCACACCGTTCCATCTCTCATATCACACAAAGGGGATTATACTATTTATTGTGTCATTTATAAGCAAATTGTTGTATTAATCATATTCTTAAATTCATTTACATATTGAGATTCCTTAAACAAACATACGTAAAGGCAACGAGTCATCACAAACAACACACTGAATCATGATCAATGCAACGGCAAAATTCCTAAAATCACCAAAATGTATACGAATACACACATATTATCAGGAATTTACAGTAATTGACAATTTACGGTATAATCACTAAAAGGAAAACTTAAAATTCAACAAAAAATCACCTTCAGGAAGCCAAGCAAAACCGCAGCTGGAGGCGGTGAGCATCGAGGTCATCAATGCAGAGGCAGTGGCTGTGTGGAACGGCTGCATTGACTCCAAACACGCACTCATCTCAACGGGACTCCTTTTAATTTATGCCACCAAATAATTATTGGAAAATCAAACAATAAGATGTTAAATTTCTTCGTTGTAAGTATGCAATTGAACTGAATTGAAATTAAACACACACACACACACACACACACACACACACACACACACACACACATATATATACGTGATTATGTATAAAGATGTACCGGAAGAGGCGGTGAGCGAACGGAGTACTAGAAGGAAGTCGAAACGGAGTGCGAGCAGTTTTTGGTTGGAAGCCGAGCTTGGCTGCGGCGTTACGAACAGCTGACGACCGGAAAACGGATCTGGCGGCGGCGATTGTCATTTGAAGTGGGGTTTCGAGTAGTGAGCGATGCAATCTGAAAATGGGGGTTTATGGAGCTAAAACCCTAATTGGAAGGAGTTTAGGTTTTCCCCTAAGTAGTGTTTGGTTTTGTGTAATTTAATTTGTTAGCATATTGAACGGACTAATGTAGTTTTGTAATTTTATTTATATTTTATATTACTATTTTCTTTTTCCTTTAATAGATCTAAATTACATTTTATTTATGCGTATTGTTTTATCGAGCTGACTTAATTACCTTATCGAGCAAAACGAGCTTTTAGTATTGATGTCGAATGAGTAGCTTTTAGGTTCAAAAACGCACCTTTTAACCATCGCAGACGATAGAATATTTCACAAAAAATGAGTTTTTTCAAAAATTTGAGGACTTTTTGTATTTTTCTAATAGATTCTTTTACAAAATTTCAAGGAACCATTAAATATAATGTCCTTACCTCAATTTAATTTAAGTTAAGGATAGTTTTCAATTTGTCCCCTAATAAAATTGCCTATGGTAGTTATTGTAATGTTTAAGTTTTCCTTGTTTTCCCTTGCCTTGATCAAAATTTCCTCCTCTTTTCTTGGCACAAACCATGGAAAACAATAATATGAGGCTTGAAGAAGAAGACGACGATGACGACGACGAAGAGGAGGCCAGTTGCACAAGTATGGAAAATCATATTTTACAATTTATATGAATAGCTTCTTGTATACTTTTCTATATGAATTATTTTCCACCAATTTGGTTATATCAAACTCATAAATTATATTTACCAATTAAGTTTTATTTTAGTGGTACTAGAAGCTTCTCCTATAGTGGTGTTTGGTGAGAGGTTGAGAGTTCGAATCTTTTTAGGTGTGTGTGCGTTGGATGCGTGCGTTGTAGGTCATATTATAAGTGTTGCACGTGAGTTTTTTAACTAGCTCGAGTTTGAATCCATCTTCAATTGTTCATTAGTTTACGAGCTTTTTTTTGTAGATTTAATTAATATAATTATAAATTAAATATATATTTTCCATCTCTTTGTTAATTTTAATTTTTATTGGGGCAAATTACGGTCACCCCTGAGTTGTGGTCAAATTACAAAAAACCCCCTTCTATTTGGGTAATTACAATCACCCCTCAATTATATATTATTTTACGAAAATACCCCTCCAGGAGTAAATTTAGGGATGTTAACCGAAATTTCGGTAAGCCAACATTTCATACCGTTTACCAAACTGAATATACAATTTAGTTCGGTAAATAACCGAATTACATAAATTTTATGTAAAAATACTTAAAGGGGGGTGACTGTAATTACCCAAACAAGAGGGGTATTTTTCATAATTTGACCATACCTCAGGGGTGGATGTAATAAGCTTTTTTATTATAATAAATTATTTGATGGGATAGGCCCAAAATAAATAAAAATACTAGAGATAGCCGACGACAAGGAAATAGACCAAGTGACAAAGACCAACAAAAGGCCCATAAGCGGTTAAAACTTAAAACATAAGGCCCACAAAGTATAATAAATATAAAATAAAAATTAAATATAATAATATAATAATCATAATAAAAATAAAAAAAATAAAAAATTTGCCACTTGCCATAGTGATGGATGACTAGTTGAATATTATATATATAGTAAAAAATGAGGATAGTTGGTTGTGCTTATCTGTTGTTTTCTAAAGGGGTGTTTGTTTATGAAGGTTGATAAGACGTGAATCAATTGAATACGAGCTTTCGCTTTTCAACTTCGACTCCACTTCTAACCTACTCCCACTTATTTTATACAGCTAGTTCCAATTATCAATTTTTTATTATTTTTATTTTTATAATTATTTATTTTATTTTTATTTTTCAATTAGGTTGGAGCATGTGAGTTTTTGTCGATCGACCAAGTTCGAATTCCCTTTGTTGAGCAATCCCCCAAGTTCAATCCAGATTCTTCTAAAAAGAAATTTACTAAAAAAAAAAAAAAAAAAGATAATAAATCCGAAATATCGAAATGAGATTTTTCATAATTTGAAATAAATATAACTGTCGTTTTTCAACTTTGAACAAGTATTAAAAATGCCAGTAAATGTGTCTTAGTTTTAGAAAAAATGCCTTAAGAATACAAAAATAACATTAATCGTTTAATAATATGATAAGAGAAAGTTAATAGTTAAAATTGAATTAAGAAGGTTAATGTTGAATATGTTGCGCTGGGAGTGTGGGTATCAAAATAGTGGCTAGGTCTCATACGCGAGAATGCGTAGGTTGATCATCACGTTGTCTTTTGCAAAGTCTTGATCCAATGTCGGTGAAAGCTAAAGTTGATCTTTGCACGAGAGAAAGGTTGGCGAAAAATTATTGTTGAAGCTGACTCAAGTACTGTAATATCATCGATTAATGGCGCCACAGAAGATCGATCAATGCATGGGACTATTATCGCAGATATTCTTGCTGCTAAGGGCTGGTTTGATGGCTTCTCTGCTAGGCATATTAATAAAAAAAGAAATCAAGTTGCTCGTGAAGTAGCTCGACTTTCATTTACGGGTCCAATTTTTTTGCTGAATCTTCCTTTGGTGATTCAACATATTGTAAACTTTGAAGCTGAAAATTAATATAGTCCAAGTTTTATTTCAAAAAAAAAAATTAATAAAGTTAATATTGAAGAAAAAAAATGCATTTAATATAATATTGGAAATCCAAGCGATAGAAGATGCGGGACAAAAATATATTTGAAAAGACACGGTTATTACGTAACATGTGAAATATATATTTGTTCATTGTAATAATTAATCTTATTTTCTTGACTAATAATATTTATTTTCCATTTAAACCTATTTTTATATCCACTAATTCCCCTTGTTTTGGGGTGGTATATGGTATTAGAGATAACCCCAAAGATATTTGATTTGATTATATACAATATTTGATTTAATTGTACATATCATTAGGATATTTAATTTGATTTTATATACATTTATTAAAAAATATTTGCTTGATGCTATTGATCATGCATGTATGTATATATATAAGAATGTAGTGTTGGTTAATGAAAAATATGAAAAACATTATTCATATTATTATTTCTACATATGGTTTTTGTATTTGATGATAGTATTTCATTTATAAAAGCAATCAGCCACAAATTGATCATTGATAATAATTGATCTGGTTTACGTGTAAATTATTGCATCGGACTATATTAAGTAATTAATAATTAATTATATACCTAATCTTACTCTAATCACGTTCATTAATACTCTACGGCACAAATACAGGATGTATTCTTCCTTGGGTATTCTAAATTCTTTATTAATTACAAGATTATTCCAGCATTTTCCATTTATTATTTTCAACCTGCATTTTTTATTTTTATTGTCAAAAATACCCCAAGGGCAATGGGTTTTGCAACGTTGCAAAATCATTTCCTATGTAGTAGCACGGACACGGAAAATGAAATACGATGAAACGGCATGTCCAGAAAACAGAGATACTGGAGTTTGGGAGAAACGTGTAAATATTAAAAGTATAAGGGTATATTAAATTATAAAGCCCCCTAAACTTATATTATATTACAAAAACGCATCCACCTATTCGTGATTACCAAAAACCCCCTGAGGTTTTTCCCCTCTTACACTAACCCCCTTACAATGTGACTTTTCACAAAAAAATTTTTATTCCAAAGAATAGACTTTAAGCAATTTCAGGTATATTTTTTTCTCACCTATTTAACATATGGCATAATAGATTGTACATGTACATTTTCTGTTAGAAAACTTGATCAACGGTTAATCAGATGGGGGTTTTGGTTACTACGTGGGAATATTTTTCGTTATTCAGCATAAGTTCAGGGTTTTTTTTTTTCATAATTTACCCAATTTTCCTTTATTTATTTTCATAGAAAAAAATCAAAATAAATTTTACTATCAACTATCAGTTTGCAATTGACTTGTTAAATCATGTTAATAATTAGGAAAACAACAAAAGTATTTAAAACTTTATTATTCACACATGCATGTTTCTAACATTTTAAAAATTGCAAAACGGCCCATAAGATGTCCGCAAGTGTCTAACACGAAACGTATCTGAAATACGAAAACGTTAAGCAATTAAAATTTGCGTGATGCATACGTCCCATCTTGTTTTGGATCCAATGTTTTTGGGTAGGTGACGAAGGGAGATGAATCTCAAATTAATTAATCATCGACTTAATTATTATTACATCTTTGATACCACAACTAACATTTATTTCACAATCATCAATTGAGCATGGATTTAATTAGCCGAACACTCCAATTATAATAATTTCCTACGTGTATTTTGTTAAACTATATAAAGTAATATAATACCCCAAATAATATTATTTTCTCTTGTGAAATTACCGATTTAGGTCTAGTTGATAAGACCACCTTCTTATGTATGTGGAAACACTATCCTATATTCTTATGTCATCATTAGAGAAATGGATTAACCTGTGTAATGAAAAATTAATTCAATTACGTGGAAATAAATTGGGATTGTATCAAATAAACAAATAACTAACAATAATTTTTTGTTGGGTGTTGCTATTTGCAGCGGGACTTTTACTGAAATTGGCTTATTTGCAGCGGTACCTTTTTCATTTAAATTTTTTTTTTCAATTTCTCTCTCCTATTCCAAACACTCTCTAGAAATTCGAATTTCGTAAAAAA